GGAACTGATCTGTTATGGCAAAGAGTTATGAATACATTTAGAGTAGCATGCAGCTAAAGCTCTGCTGTTTGCTTATCTGTCTCTTTCTCTTAAGTTTCACGCAGAGGAGAATTAACGAATCACAGTCTTTTTCAGAAATGAAACGTCCTTCCCACTATCACTTCAAATGTCTGTTTCTAAAGACAGCCGTGTATCTGCATCAGTGGCCACATGAATTTGATTTTTAAAAAGTTTATTCAAGATACACAGATAAAAGACATGTCCAACATATAAAATATACAGAGGAGGATTTTACTTTTTCAATGATGTAAGTAATGCCACTCTTTTCCAAGCCTAATGTATGGCCCTCATAAAAGGCACCAGCAGAAAATGCTTTGTTCAATTTGAGAAGGGAACACTGTTTGGAAAAAAAAAAATATATGTGATTGTTGACTCTATTTTACTTTCGAATACCTGGGAAATCCAGGTAAGCATGATGAATCTACGCCCATCCAGGTTTTTAGAAAGTCCCATAAATTCCCAATGTGAGTCTTAGTCATAATCTGAGTCTCAGTCACTCCATAAAAAGTCTTCCTTGTGCAACACACTGATCGACTTTTTTTTTTTTTTGGTTAGTCAGCATGGATAAAAGTTTTGTCTGCTGAGGTGAAAGGAAATATGAACAGATTGCACTAAAGCTGCATTTCTCCTTTCTTTTATTGGTACTTCCCTTTAGCAGCAAACCTAAACTTTGAAGTTATACAAACAGACTTTACTTCTGAGTGTCACTGGGGTGCTGGGAGCTCTTGTTGATTGTACCAGAGCAGTGAGTTCATGGTGACTGACTTTGGCTGAATCCCGGACTGTCTTATCTGGGCTGTAAACCAGCTGAGCAGAGGGTTTGAACCACAAAACAAGTGTGCAAGAGAATTTTTATGGAAGTTCATGTGCAGTGTGTTAACTGTGTGTATCTAAGCAGCATGTAGATTTGAATGTGATTGCACATGCGTGTATGTGTGTGTGTGTGTTCAGTGTGTGTGTGTGTGTTCAGTGTGAGCAGTGTGGTGAAGTTGCATTTGGACATGTCTGGGCTTATTCTCAGTCAGTGCTGCTGCTTAGACGCCTGCGGCACTGCTCTGACAGTGCACACACGTGCACACACCTAAACACACAGAAAAACCTCAGTGTAGCTGGTACTGCCACTTAAAGCACAAAGTCGATGCAGAAGTATTCAATCCTAAAGATTTTAATCCTTAAATGAGCCAACAATGACAGAAAGAAGAAGACGCTGAAAGCCAAAAACACTTTGTTTTAAAGCATGGGAGACTTAAATAAGAGCGCACAAGTGTCTCTGTCATGTTTTTTTTTTTGTTTGTTTGTGATTTTTCTTCAGTTGGCTGTCATCACATTGTTAAACGTGATCTTACAGGCCAGTAGTTAGGTAACAACGTCTATGAGATGAACTTTTTGTGCAGTCTGGTCCAGTAATTATAATCTCACACAGACAAGACTCTGCAGCAGCCTGGCACAGGTGCGTCAGCATTAGTCTTTTGGCTTGCAAATAGTCATATTTAGTCATATTTTAATCAGTCATATGACAGTGAAACTAATAGGCAACACAACTAAAAAGCTGATGAAGATTTCTTGTCTCATTACATTTACGACATAGGTATTTCCAAAAATCAAGCTCTGTCCCTAACACATATAAGGTGTAACCTGCATATCTGGGAGGTTAAACTTCATGACAGCAGGTTGCGTGAGTGTTGTCCCTTTTAATTGTCTGCACCATGGGTCTCGGTAGGTGGGCAAACTCACAGAAATTGGTCCCAGTGTGAGACATAGCAGAGCAAGAATCTTACAGACAAACCTGATGAATTGCCAAAAGTCAGCAAGCTGCTATTACTGCAGTGGCGTCTCATTAGAACATCTGTGCATTTGTGTTGTCCACAAAAGTGAATTATTTAAACTTTTACCTTTACTGTCTGACAAACTATACTTTTGACAACAACGTAGATGACAAAGGGAAGAAGAAAATGACTCCATACACATGATTTTCCTCCAATAACCAGCAAGCTAATCAAGTGCAGACACTATAGACCTGTTATGAATCAAGAACTTACTATGGGAACCAGATGCAGACAGGCAGGCAGAAGGGATGGGTGAATTTATTTATTTTTTATTTGCTCGATTATTGAAGTCTATGAAAGGTTTAGCAGGGTTGTGGCTATAGAGACTAAAACGCTAAAGAAAAAAAGGGAAGGTGGTGGAGTAAAGAGGCTGGGTGGAGTGGTGCTAAGTGTGGGAGGCACTGGAGGCAAGAACAGGAGATAGAAAGATTAGTCACGAGAAAGTTTTCCAACAAAAAGTACCAGAAAGTCTTTCTGAAGTTCTGGCCAACAATACAACAGTGTGAGCAGCAATCATCTGACAGAGTGGATAAGTGGAACCACAGTATAAATACAGCAGCAGGTGATTGAGTAATGACATGCAGGTGTGCATGCATTCAGGGAGCTCCAGCACCAGGAAGCCGGAAACCAAATACCCAAAAGAAAGCCTAAAAGATGGATATAAAAGACAAAGAAAATTAGTGGACCACCATAAGACTGACAGCATTAGCAAAGAGTTAGTAAAAAGATGCAAATAACTTTATTTCTGTTTATCACAGAGCTCAAAGGTTCATACCAAACCTCAAGGCTTTAACTCATCATTTCACCCTGTATGAGCAAGTTGGGTGGCTTTCTCTAATCATGCGTCGATTGAACCATTGGCACATCCTGATTTACAAGACTATACTTGGCATGCTTCCACCATACTTGTGTAATCGTATTCATGTTAAAAATTCTGGAAGCTATAGTCTTCGTTCTGCAACTCAGACACAAAATCTACTTTTGCTATCTGTCCCCAAAATTCATCTTGAAATGGGCAAAAGAAGTTTTAGATATGCTGCTCCTGCAGACTGGAATCTGCTACAAGAAAATTGTGTCTTGGAGAGCCGGTCTCTTAAAATCCTTTAAAATATAAATTAAAGGCCCTAGAGGAAGATGAAGCAGGCTTTAAGTGCTTTGACTAAAAATGTTCTGCTCTGTGACTTCAACTAGGCTGGTTGTTAAGTCTGTATATAATTGTTTACGTCCATAACTCTGTAAATGTACTGCTGCCTGTCTTGGCCAGGACACTCTTGCAAATGAAATTTTTAATCTCAATGAGGATTTTTGGGTTAAATTAAGTTGTATTCATTCATTTATATTTTGTAATGTATTGCTGGATGCTGTTAGTCTGTGGTAACTAAATGTAGCTGATAATTGGTTAGTGTATTAGCATTGTAGAAAAACATTAAGTGACTCTGCACCTCATTGCAACATGTTGGCAGTATGGTCATCTGCTCACTTGATTAATACAGTATATCTTCTTCAACTTCTGTCTGCTGTCAACATCTGGTGCTGTTTTCCTCGTCTGTCAACTTATTATATCCAAGTTAAAACAAAACACTGTAATTTATTGTGAGAAACAAAAGTGTGCTTAAATGGTCAGATCCTTTTTGTTCTCAATCAAAAAACACCAAGCCATAGGAATATTGATCATTGAGGGTTCAATTAATACACAAAAAAATAAGTCTCCAGGCAACAATGCCCTGCCCTAAAAGGTAAAAGATAAGACAAAATAAATAGTGTTTATGATGCACTGCACCAGGAGATGCAAAATAAAGAGAAAAATACTAAAATTATGACATTCAGTCGTCTCAGGGAATCACAGTGCAGTGTGCAAGCTAACTTCAAGAGTAAATGAGGGAAGAAACTAGAAGAATGTGCTGGAATGTGAGTCATGAGGTTACCAAAAAGAGGACACCAGGAAGCTGACAAGTTTTACTTCCATTAATTTATTTCTGAAAAGTTCAGGTGAACATGTGATATTTCTTTTGGCCTTTTACTTTAATAAGAGTACAACAATGAAAGGGTGGAACATGGTGGTGAATGCGTCAGCAGGGTGGAGGAAAAAAATCTAGTTGTCAGCGTACACGTGAGGCACATCACGACGAATATCTGTTTACACTCTTCTTATCGCCTCTGACGTCTGAAGGGAAAACACTTAAGTGACTCATCTTTATCTGGGAGTTATACTACAGTAGCTTCACCTGGGTCATCTGCCTGCCTGCCTGCCTGCCTGCCTTTATATCTTCATACCAGTGCTGCACCTGGACTCCCGTTAATAATTTACTAATTACCTCACTTGTTTCACAACTACTAGCAAACATGACGCAGGGCTGAGCAGAAACAATGTCTGATTATTACATATATTGTTTGAAAGTGGGTCAGATTTAAACAGAAATTGTAATCGCGTGTTATCTGGATAATCTGAACAAAGAGATTCTTACCAACACTGACACTGTTAGATAAACACTGAAATGTAAAGCAAACTCACGACTACTTAGTGTAGTTTAAACAACAATACAGGACAGTTGATACAATCTATATGAGTCATTCCTGGAGAAAAGATTCAGCAGAATTTCTTAACTATGTTTCATCTTTATCTTGAGTCACTGCTGAAAACAAGTAGACACCCCCTTTCTTGAGGCAGGTAACAAAAGAGCAGTCGAAAATGCACTTTCTCTGGCAGCATTTCTGCCTATGCCGCCTCACTACCATATATATCGATACCCTCCCAGTAGAAGGTTAAATTACTGAAAGAGTAGCAGCCAAAAAAATAAAAAATAAGCTGATGGTCTACAGTGAACAAACTACAAGCCAAGGAACACTGGGAGTTTGAAAGCAAGACACCGATTTCAACTAGTAATATCTCATAATAACTTTTACCTGATTACTGATAAGATCCTGCAAGTTCACTTTCTTAAATTTCACAGATAATGAAACATATTTTACTAATATAATGTTGTGGCTTACTTCCTTCTCCCTCATTTGTTAATAAGATTTAAACAATCCCCACAAAAAAAGTGGTTGGACCTAAAAATGTGTATAAATCTGCAATTTTCCATCAGCTATTGAGACAATTTGAGCAAATATGATGCTATGGGATAATTCTTTCAGTGGTCGGGACACAATAACTCCCAACCACATTCGACTGATTCCTTACATATCATTGGCCTTTTGGCACAATGCATTGATGTGTGAGCCTGCAGGACGATTCTTAACTGCGAAAGAGAAGACGGATATTTCCTGACATATAGTGAGGCTCTTCCTTAAACCCACGGTAAAAACTTAGGACAGCTACAATTATACTTTTGCCACATACCTGATGTCTACCTCAGAATATTGCAAAACCAAGGCCAGAAAAAAAGGAGTCTTTAAAAAAAAGTGACTGGTAGTTATTCTTCACACAGCAGAAACAACTGTATTTGGAGTACTTTGATGATGAAAATGAATTTATTTTGAGACTTAAAGTTTTCTCTGTGGTTATTGTTTGAGCTTTAAAGATGGTAGTGTGCTGGTTTTAATTTTATTCTTTGACATTTAGATGCAATAAGCTGTCCTGAAATTACCAATTGTTTTCAGTCTTTAAGCTTATCTAAGATCACCAGCATGTAAATAATATTTTTAAAATGTCCAACTGCTCATCCAACATCAGATGAAAAACGAGGTATTAGCACTTTCTATATGAGAGTTGAAAGTCTGCAGGGTGTGGTCAGAAGCGAAACAGCCTCAATTACACTTTCACAACACTACAGCTAGAGAGACGCTTGTTTAATCCGGGCTGGTATAAAAATGATGAACTCACCTCATCCTTATTGGAGTTAATAATATAAGTAAAAATGTAAAATAGATCAGATTCAGAAAGTGAAACTCATGTACGTCACATCAGGTGAGTGTGAAGCCATTGCTAATTTTGAGCTCTTATTCCTAGCTTGGCATTTCCAATTGCACCATAACTATATCAAAAGGAATGTGATAAAAAAAAAAAAAAGAACACCGAGAACACTAAACTTTAAGTCTGCTCCTCTGCCCATCCTTATTTTAGGGGACAAAGTTCAGCTAATCTCAGCAATCAACTGATGAAGTCACCTGTCATAAAAAAACAGTCACAAGAAAACAGATTTTTTCCAGTACTCTTGTTGGGAAATTGCAAAACATGTGATAACCACTTTATGAATTAAGCAATACCCAAACTTTAACATAGTTGCTAAAGGTCAATAAATCAAAAATGCTCTCAACAGCTCTGCTACCACTGCCTGGATTGCAGGACTGGATATTGTTCAAATTTTCCTTTTCAGAGATGGTTGAAGTTCAGGTTTTTGCCACAATATTTATTTATTTAGAAAGCTAACATTTCAAACCCTTTAACAATATTGTGTCCTAAAGGGATCACCAAATCCTTTTTTTGATCAAACACTAAAAACTATCCCTACATAAAACTTGGACCTTGTGTGACATGTTTGATCAAAAAAAGGATTTGGTTATCCTTTTTGGACACAATATTTATTTATTTATTTATTTAGAAAGCTAATATTTCAAACCCTTTCAAACTAACAATATTGTGTCCTAAAAGGATAACCAAATCCTTTTTTTGATCAAACATGTCACACAAGGTCAAAGTTTTATGTAGGGATAGTTTTCCGTGTTTGACAATTAAACTTAATATAGGTGTGAGGCAAACAATTAAGGATATCAGATTTAGGTTTGTGTGGATGGGTTCGTAGAGACTGATGAGGCCAACATGGAGACTTTGATTCTAGTTCACTCCCTCTGCCGACAGAAATAGCTGTGCCTGCAGAGACATAAATGACTGCTTTACAGAAAGCATCTCTTTGTGTCTGATGTGTTTGGTCCTCAGGAGATCAAACACTTCTTCTTAGTAAAGTGAAATATTCAGTTCATCTCAGGACAAACAGAACATCACTATTTTTGGAAGAAAAATATTTTGTTGGAAAGGTAATTTTTACCCAGTGGATGCATATTCTCTCTGATAACTGTGTTAAAATTCAGCAACCTGAGGGTCAAAGAATTCACTCGACTGATAAACCGACAACTACAAAGAGTTTCAAAACACTGTGGAGATAAAACTCTTTGAGTGAGAGTGGAATCTTAATGAAGCAATTCTGTTATTTACATTGTGTTATATGTTGTATCTTATTACCCCACTGTGTTAAACAATAGGTTCTGATGGGTTACACCTCATAAAAAAGGTAAGTGATTCTTAACAGGAGTAGTAAGGCCAGGGACAATCTGATCAAATGTGTCAAATTAAGAGAGAAAGTCAAGTGAAAGTTGCTTTGTCAATATTTTATATACCACCCACTCACAGTGTCACTTATCCATAAGGATATCTTGGAAAATACTTAAACTGTCTGGGAAATTCAGAGTATTTTCGACTGGAATTCTGTGAGGTTTGTGAGTTTTACATTTAAAAACAAAATTCAGCTGGTATAATTAAGATGTATGCATTTGAACAACATTTCACATCTTTACTCTTAGTTGTTTGTTTTTCCTGAATATCTAGAGGCTAAAGGCTACCTCAAAATGAGCAGCCTTTAGAGTTTGTGGATCTCTGCATCAAACTCATACCAGTGCAACTTGTACAAAGAGACATGTACAGCTGCAGGGATGGCAGTGTGATCACCCTTTTGTGTCGACTTGACCCACAATGGACAATGAGGAGACTATACCCCTGGCTATGGGTGCAGATATACAAGAGAACCTTCACAGCTTTTATGTCCCGCTGTCTCACCAGAGCAAGCTGTCTCCAGGCTTTGAGGAAAACCCAGTTTTTGCCAGGGAGTACATGAATCACTGGAGCTCTTAACTCAGACCATGTGAGACGAAGCTGTTTCAGTAAACACCACACAGGCTGCAATATCTCTTATAAAGACGATGTGATTTTGCTGCTTTCTGATGATAAGTGAAGCGTCTCTTTACTACCACAAAACTACCTTAAACAGCTAGTAAATGCACTTTTATGAAACACATATAACTATTTATTTATAACCTTGCTTCATATAAACACTGCCCATATTCAAAGTCAACCTCTGTCATAATCACACAAATTACACAACCGTCACAGCAAGTTAAAAAAATCTTTACTGATGATTTCTCCAAATATTAAAACAGAACAGTCAAACTTTGAGAGAAATGGCGATCCAGGAGAATAAATGTGAGTTAAAAATACACAGTATAAAGAAATAAAGATTGCTGTGTCATCCTGTCTTTTATGTTCCTTTTTCAACTCATCTACACATGCCTAATAATCATAAGAAAAAAAAATTATAAAAGCTTCAATTGTTATGAAATCATCTTTAAAAACAAAGTTTTATGGTCTGAGGAGGAAAAGTTCCACATCAGCACCTTCTGGTAGTTTTCCAACTTGCCTCATGGTGAAGAAATTAACTTAGCTTCTATTAATAACTCCACTAAGACTTTAGAGGAAGTAGTAGATGTATGTTTTTGCTGTGTGCCTAGCTGGCTGGGATTTAAACACCGTCAGCAAAACTTCAGTGTATGTCAAGATTTTGCATCTGAATCAGCCCACAAGCTGGAAAACAGTTTGGAAAGCCAACAAAACCTCAACCCTGCCACCAACCCTCTGCAGGTGCTTTATGCTCATTTGGGGCATTGTGACAATAAAAATCTGTCCTCAGACTTCTTTTTCTCCCGATATTTGGCAAATAAGTTGCTGAAACAACTCCACAGGGGTGACTTTTTTTTTTTTGCCAAGAACCAGCAGCCAAAGGCACCGCCAACCACATACAAAGGCACCGCCTCCCACCGCTGCCTTAGGTCACCGCTCACCAGCCTCCCCGTCTCATGATGATGATGTCAGGATCCCAAAGTGACTCAGCATCCCCTTTAGCTGAAATGACAAAGAAAAACACTGTAAGGATGCATGAAAAGAACTCAAAAACATGCAGAGCTTTTATAAATGCAGGATCACGATAAAGGAAACGCTGTGAGCGGTGCTCAGGTGGCATCATAAAGTGGGTTATAGGCCTGGTGTGAGCAAATAAAACACAACAGGCTCGAACAAAACACAAAATTAACTATCAGCTTTTATTGCCCATAAATAAAATGTGTGTTTTGCAGGACTGTAGGGAAGTAACATTACAAAATACCTAACTTGAACAACTTGAAGTTATTAACGCTCCTAAAGTTATCCTGTGTTTTCTACAGGTGTAAAGACAGTCTTTAATATACTGAGCTTAGCATTCGTCACAAATCTGGGCATAAGACAAAGCAGGGGTCATACTGTTGATGTCAGTATGCAGTGCTTTGGGTAATGATCTATAAACGGCACTACTGAGTCATAACAAGCAGATGCATTACAATCTGGAGCATGTTGCGGGTTTTACTGGCTTCCAGCTCTATTTATATAGCAGACATTCGACTTTTATGCTACTTTTCCTACTTTACTTTCTGTTGTTTTGTATTTTCTCAAAGAATTTAAAAAGATTGAACTTTAAAAGAGCAGATTTTCTGGAAAGAGTCTCCCCTTATCCAGTGATACATGCTGCTGCTGTTGCTCTGCCTTTCTCCTGGTAAAGAGTCAAATAAGTAATAATCTTTCTTGAAGTCACCTGTCACTAATTGCGTGGGATAATATTAGCAGTGCATATTTAATAAAACTCATATCACTTGTTACCAGAGAGTAACGGCATTGATGTTTGACCTGAAATCTCAATTGATGCACACTGGAAACAACTCATCTATCCAGCTGACATTAAACATTAAATCTAATCTAATAAATATTATGTTTATATTCTAATTTCATCATTACCTTTACAAACATTAAAAAAGTCTAGACAAAAAGCAGCATGGCAAATGTTAATGTGTGTTTTTTCACAACACACTTGTGTTTAATTCAACATCTGCGTACACGGTTAAACATGGTGCCGCTTCCTGCTTTAGTTTCCAGAAAGGCTGTTGACACAGGACACACACACACACACACACACACACACACACACACACACACACACACACGCACTCTACAAAGCAGCATGGGTAAAAACAAAGGTCTATGATTTTGTCTAAATATACACCCTTTAAGTCACAATCCGGAGATGATGTCCTCGTTCTCTTTTTTCTTTGACACTTGGGTCACATAGGCAGACTTATACGGAGAGAAATGGCATTAAGGTAAAGAACAAAAAGAGAAACCCTCTGATCTTCTATTTATTCATCACATACTACCATATGTTATCCCGAGGGATCGTTCTGTGGTGAACATCAACGGCACTACATTTGCTATAGAACAAATGTCACATGTTGTTCTTCTATTCTATTTTTGATAAGGACAACCACTCCGGACTAACGCCGATAGACATTCAAGCTTATTTCAAGTTATATGACCCTTTTAAGTCAGCATAACAACAGAAATATAAGGACACTCAGTTTTGTACATATCGTATGGTGCCGCAGACAAAATTAACATCAGAGCTGTGAAGAAAACAGTCAAGCTGGCTGCTGTAAATGGTGGCATTTGAAGATATATAATATAGATATTTTGATTCAGTTTGAATTTATAGATGATCATATTTCATAGCATGACCTTGATCATGATATGCATCACATTATGGGGTCTTTGCCAAGTCCCAGCTTTGTCATATTGCCTAACTCTAAGCTGATCTGAACATTAAAATGTGTCTGAGGTTACACATGCAGAACATGTGATTGTAGCATGTTGAAATTAAGCAATAATATCAGTATTAAAAACAGAGAAGTGTAGATGACACATTTTCTTATCTGATTCCTGATTTGATTTATTTGATGTGTCTTAAAATACACAACCACATACTGTACATACCAACACCACTTCTCTATGGCCTTTTGACTATATGACTTCGGCTGCAGAGATACCACTTGTACACAGAATGAATCTTATGTGACTGTGGGGACCTACAGGCTTTGAAGGCCTCGGGTTTTCACTTCTTATCTTCCAACCAATCTGGCAAACAGCTCTACCGCTCCCAGCCTCTGCAGCCTGTAGTCCTCATGACCACACATACATATCAGGGCTAGGACAGCCGTTGGGGACACTAGAACCTCAACAGAACTGCACAGGTCAGTATCAAGGGCTTGAAGGCTGTATCTTACTGGCTGTAGTTTGCAGACATAAAGGCGGTTAAACTGAGATGTGTGCTGGCTCTTTCTTTGTTTTTTTTTTTGAGCTGCACACTCTCATGTCCAGCTGCTCAGATTCTGACTCATCATGCTGCCAGATGTCAGGTTCCTGCAAGACCTGAAAGTTGTGCTCTCATGACACATTTCACACTTGTTTATAAGCACCTTTTGACCCGGTACCATGATTTCACTTTAGAAAGGTAGTAGTGACATTATACTGGGGACTGCATACTTTACTGCATGTAATACCGACTGAATGAATGAACACACACTGAGTTACTTTTGACAATAAATATGATGATAAATGAAGCATGCATATTTCAAACAGCAAAAATTTCTCTCATGGTCAAAAAAGTTACTGTCAGATATTTGTTTTGTACATACAGCATCATATTAAATATAAAATCCCACAGTGCATTAAACTATTTTGGTTATTCCCTCCGTCACATGAACTTTTACTCTTATCTAATTGCGTCTCATGAGCTCACTTTGGCCTCATGAAGCTAAACCTGCACATTTTAAAAACGAGTCCTTTTGATATCAGTTACAATCAGTGCCAAGGTCAGTTAAAATTCCTGAGGCTGTAACTGAAATAAACACAATTCACGTCTTTACAGCAGCTTTTAAGAAGAATAATGCGGGGTCACTTTGATTTGACCAGGCTTTGTTTAGTCATGATGGATCCCGTCTGCCTGATGTAAACAGATTAAAGCAAAATGTTTGACTTTGAAGTTCTGCTTCCCTGCATGAATAAAAGCTCTTTACACTGCTGGCTGTACAACACACAATCAGACCTGCTCCCCAGAGCTTTTGGCTTTATGTGGAAAAGATGAGGAAGAAGGATGTTGGCACACACTTACATGAGAGGCAGATAATACTCTGTAAAATTCAAACTCAGTATTTTCTTCTTTTTTTTTTTTAAAGTGAGATGTGTTTGAGATCAAATGAACAAAAATGGATTATAGAGGTGAATTTAATCACTCTTCAAAAATTCATTCATTTGATACTGAAGACTTCATATAAATTTGCACTTCAGAGCACATGTATGCTCTTTACTGTAATGCTAGCATTGTTTCAAGCATATACGTACATACACAAAACATGTGATCCATAATTATTACATGTTAAAATGTGTTGTTGTGCTTGTTTCCCAGGTGAAAATGCTATAAAGAGTATATAATATAAATATTACTTTTGTAGTCCACAAAAAAATAAATATATAAAATCACAATAATCCAATCCAGTTTCAGAGTAATGATTTCCCCTCTTTGGAGTGTGAAGAAAACAAGGATTTAATAACCTATAATTAGACAAAATTACTCATTACTCATAAAAAGAATTACTGATACAGAAACAATAAACATCCATAGCTCTAACAGCACTATTTTATGTAAATATACATGATTTATATCCACACATCTTTCATCCTTCAAACAAATGTCCCTGGCACCCCTGAAGATGAATGTCTTTAGACACTTAGAGTCATATAGGTGGACGGCTGGTGATTAAAGACCCTGTTACAAGTACTCAAAGATAAATTACACTCTTCCATTTATAACCAAGAGTCTCCTTACAGCCTCTTGCCAGTTCACCAAGCATAGACCAGACAATTTGAAATTTCTCCGCTTTACTACTCTGTTAATCATTCTGCTAAGAGCTGAGGAGATGAATTAGCCAGTTGCCCTTTTAAAGTGGATGGCCACTTTGTTTCAGACTCAGCATAGAGCTGTGAGTACCATGGGGACTCAGAGTTTTCTGTCAAATTCAACATAAATACTTCATATAAATATAAAAAAATTGAAATAAAATAAAAAGGATCGTAGCTGCAGTTGGTATGACATCAGGACAACTTAAAAGCACACATTTCAGAGATCAATGTTGTCGTACTACGACTAATTATCATCAAATCCTAAGGTTTGTGACACGAACTGTTCAGTCACATTCAACACAAAACAGGTATAGCCTCCATTAAACACTAACAACTGTAGAAAAGTGGAAAATAGAAAAATATAAAATAAATGTTGCTTTTTCATCACAGTGATCTTTTTCACAGAGGGACAAAGACACACTACCACAATGAATAATTTACTGAAGGCATCTAACCAGGTGAACCAGTATGACTGATGAGCCTGTGCTTTATCTTCCTGTCTGATAAAGTGGGTCTGCATTTAGCTCTCTCGACAGTACATTTATCCTCACGTGCGTGAGTGAAAGGATGCTCTAATAAAGCTGGCTACTTAAAGAGTTTTTTCACACACTATATCCTGTCACTTTGTTGTAAGTAATATAATATTGAAAATTGGAGTAGTTCTAAATGTAGCAGAGTGAGGTTCGGGACAGGTGAGATAGGAAAGTTTCATCATTAAAAAAAAAGAAAAAAGATTTTGTGTAAAAAGTAATATGAACTTTTTTTTGTAAGGACCACAAAGGTTAACATGTGTTAGACCTAAAAGATACAAATACTAGAACAAAAGAGTTCTGTTTCATCTGTGCTCACTTATAAGCTGTTGGCTTTGAACATACTCAAAAAATACACATAAAAATCAATCTGCACTGAGAAAAGCAAAAAAAGAAGAAAAGCACTCCTTTTTAGCCAAGAATAAATAAATAACAGCTCTTTAAAACAGTAACCTAAAAGCTTGTATTGTTCTTGTATTATTTGATTTTGTCATACTTTAACACTTTTCTTCTACTTTCTGATTCATCAACATCGTCAAAAAACAACATCTGCTCCACTTATCAAGAGACATATACAACACATCTCAGTGAAAGTGAGCCAGCTAATACTTTTCTGTCTTTTTGCCTCAAAAAGAAGAAAAATGCAAAGCTACTTATAGTATAGAGCCTTTATTTCTGATGATTAGAAAAGTTAAAGTTACTATAAGAAGTTTTCACACAAAATGCGCACAATTAATGATATTTTTAACTGCCCCGAGTCAGCAGGATGAGATTTTTTGTCAAAAGTGCTTGTTAGCATGCTGGTAAGATGGCTGATTGTTTATGAAGATGACTGGTATGCTAACAAACAAAAAATTAAACTCTCAACCAAACTGCTATCAGCCACCTCATAATACGAAGATCAACCTCACAGCAACTGAATTTTGTCAGTATTTATATGATCAGACTTTGTTCAAACTCCAGCCTGACACTCACTCATTTAATGCAGCCAGTGAGTGTGAATGTAAATCTTCATTGGGTCGAGGATCAGGGGTTACACCATAGGTTGTTACTCCTTCATAAATCAGTTGATGATTCATTCTCAGTGAAAGGAGATTAACCAGTTTGATGTACGAGTAGATGTTCAGTCTTGTCGTCCCCGTTGATGAATTAGAAACCTGCGTCAGAGCTCAGCAGGTTTTGGAGTACTTAACACCAGCTGCATGTATTGGCTGAAGATCAGAGGTGAAGAAGAGGGGCTTGTGCTGCTGATAAGTCATTTTCCATACAATATACTCTCTTACTGTGAGCTATTACTAATATTACTATTATGAAGTTAATTACCTTAAACAGCTTAAAGGCAAAATCACTGGGATAAATTCTCAGTGTGGTTTTACGGTTAGGGCTCACTGTGGATCAATGTGTCAGTATTAAAAATATCATTTGTTTTGTCATTTTGCTCCTGCTACACATTACGATTGGAGGAGGTGGGCTTGGCATAGTAAAGTTGCTCATGCACAAGCACAGGTAGGAAACATAGACTTTTAAAATGCACCCATTTTTATTGCCACACTGCAGGGCTGGGTTTACCCTCGCCAGTATCTAGCGGCTATGAACCAGTTTTACATGCCTGGAAGATAACATCAACCAAAATGCACCTAAATGACTCAAATCATGCAGACTCCGTTCAATGCAAGAATCCGCCTTAGGACTAAAGATTGAATTCAGCTGTTGTGCTAATTTCAGCGTATTCATATTGATGCATCCTGCTGAAATGTTGATTACTGTTGATTACATCCCAATTAGAGAAACTCAGAAAAGTACAGAGAGAGGGAAAATGATGAACTGCGAGAAAGTAACAGACAGATAAAGTAATATAAAACCTCTCTCATCATGAACTAAACAATGCCCTTTACAGGATTATGACTGATCGTATGAGCGACTACTGGCCTCTCCAGGAGAATAGACTTGAGTAATTAATGCTCTTCTCCCCTTCAAAATATCAGTCTTATCTTTGCTGCATCACTATAAACTACGATTAGCTAGTTGTTCCTCAAACGTCTCAGCGATCTCCAGGCCCAGTCTTATTTTCCTATATTGACAATGAAAATATGTCCTTTTAAATTAATTATATTTTAATAATTGTTCTTTTATTTTTATCATCTGTTACATTTCCACTCTCTGGAGTTGCATGAGGAATAAAAAAGTCAAAATACATCACAGAGCACTGAAGCTCTAAATTAGTCAAGATTAAATAATCATGATACTTTCACATATATCTCATGGTTTAAAAAACAGTCATCAAATTATTAGAAACAACCTTATTATAAACAGGGCCTTAGCACTCTGGACACTTAGGTCCTGCTTTTTGTGAGGTTCATGTGAGTCCTACAATCACACTTGTATTCAACAAAGGGACCTACTCTATCTCCTGCAGCAGTCATATTAAAGATATTGAAAGGTAGCCATGAGAAAGCTTTACTTACTAAGACATTATCACGTCTGCCTTATCTGTAGTTTTCTAAATGCTCAGTCAGCTGCTGTTATTCACGTCTTTTTATAGTTTTTGGCTCCTTTCCTATCCCCTCTGTTGCTGGGCAGCCTCTCTGCAAAGCACAACACGGACATTAACATAAACACCACGCACACACACACACAAACACACACACACACACACACACACACACACACACACACACACACACACTGTAATGTATGAGTTGGCCCATGCACTTCTGCTCCATCTGACACCATGACACTCCCTATGGATCGTAAGGACTGTGTGATAAATGGAGGGACTTCACTTAGGCAGATTAATTCAGGCCGCTGTAGCTGCCCTAGCTGTCGGTCAGCTCGCATAGTACAGTGCCGCCTTTATCAAGAAATCATTAGCATCATGTTCTGAGTTTCTGCAGTCAATTAAAGACACCAGCAGATAATGCTAATTTCCACAACATGGGCTACATCTATAACTGAAATGACTCCGGTATGTCGCGTAAAGAAATGACCTCCTCATCTCTGCATCACCATGCCCTCCTTCAATTTTTCATCAGGCGGTAGAAAAAACATGTACAGTTATGTTGGTGTGGGGCGCAAAGAAGCTGCAATTTTTTGTTAATTTGACTTTACTCTCTGATAAAAATAGAGACATCAGCATCATAAGATGACCATGAAAGGATGCAAACATCACATAGTGCATTGTTGGTTTTGTATCTCAGGTGCTATTGGGAATCACAAAAAAATAACAATAATAAATTAAAAACAACTTGGATAGTTTCTTTGCATCTATAAATTTGACTGTAATTAAAAAAAAAGAAACATCAGCGTTAACGCTTGGCACAAAGTGTGAGTTCTCTAAAAGATCGCAATACTGAATGTTGTTTAACAATGAGAGTTAAAGCATTGATGTGATCTTCTTTTGCAATATGACTGCAGGTAAAAAAAAAAATCTGTCCAGAGGAGGATATCACTCGTCATTACAAACTTTGCCTTAGTATCAGGGAAAAGAAGATCTTTATGAGTTATCAGCACACGGATCTGGTATTAAGTGACAGCAGGAGTGAACTGAGTGATCTGATCCTCAGGCTGCCATCACAAGGCCAAGGAACCTTTTACCTCAGAATCAAAGTAAAATCTGTATTTTTCCATGAAAAAAATAAGTTTTGGTTCATCAAAATTCTGTTACACACCGTGGTGATTTTAATTTACTAATGTTGTACTTAACACACTTTGGCGAACTTTATCAGTGCATAAAATTCTATTTGTACTCGCAACTATAAAGAAAGTAAGGAGAGAGTCTTTCTTTGTTACACAAAGCTATTTTGTTTCGTCACAGTATTTTTCATCATCTGGTCTGCAGTGTAATGAAGAAAAAACTGCCATCCTGATTTTCATTAAACTTAGTGCTGGTATGAAGTGTGAAAATAAAGAGAGGCAGCACTTGCAATATTGCACAACAACTGGACTGCTGGTCTTGCAGGGGGGTCTGGCCTCCAGTTGCCTGCATGTTTATTCTTAATTACGAAACCATTTTGATGGTTTAAATGCTGTGATTTATGCCAACATTTGCATAATTAGAACTTACTTTTCCAATGCTTAACTTTGCCTGATAGCAGCATGCACAACTGAGATCTGCTCTACCAATGTAAAGACGGTCCAGTCTGTTTTAAATACTTATTTGAATAAATTCCCTGGTAAAGCATGTGACATTATTATTATCATTATTATTATTATTATTATTGTCGTTGTTGTGTAAATCTTCAAGGCTAAACATGAGCACAATAAGGATTTTTAAATCTGAGTTTTATTCAATAATATTTGATACTTAAACTTATGAGTATGGTCAGGTTTCAGTCTCTGCAAAGTATAATTGTCTGTAAATCGAGTGCAGCACTGTGGTCATAGTGGTTTTTGTGATTTATGATTTCTAAAGGGGCAAAAGAAAGGTTAACATGCAACTGCCTGGGAGAAATGACTCCCTATCACACATCACACACCGTAGAACTCCCGGTGCTTCTCCCTCACTCACATAGTCAATGTATCAATACTGCAGGATAGGAAAGCATTAATTAAAAAAATGTATGTTTAATTTTCATAAGTTTATGCCTTTATTTAAAATGTTCAACAAATTTTCTTCATTCTTCATCTATCATGTTTTTAGTGCATTTGGATAAAATACCTCCTCTTGCTGACTCATATTTGCCTCTTTGTGTTTAGTGTGTAATTCTTGTGGAGCTGCACACACACACACACACACACACACACACACACACACACACACACACACACCAGAAAGAAGTCTCAACAGCTTAAGTCTTCACAGCTCGTGCTCAAAACAACTGATGGACGGTGTATTCAAAAAGGGCAGATCTGATCATGCAGCCTGCACACAGATGAACATTCTCTCTCACACAGAACTTCACAGAGCCATGCTGTTTTCACAAACTTGTCAAGTGTTTAATCTCCCACCCAGTCGTCAGCATGGATGAATCAAGTGGAAACCAATGTCACAGCTGGAGCCAGCTTTTAAAAAAAGGATGAAAAACAGAAAGAATTTAAACAGAAAGACAAACTTTAACAACTCATGGCTATCATTATTATTATTATTATTATTATTATTATTATCATTATTATTATTATTATTATTGTCGTTGTTGTGTAAATCTTCAAGGCTAAACATGAGCACAATAAGGATTTTTAAATCTGAGTTTTATTCAATAATATTTGATACTTAAACTTATGAGTATGGTCAGGTTTCAGTCTCTGCAAAGTATAATTGTCTGTAAATCAACAGAGACATTTTTGTTTTAGCAGGATAATAAAAACATTATATATATTTATATAAAGGAAAATAAGGTAGGATATTTCCACCGTGGGGTTACACAGTCAAAGCACAAGAAAAATTGTGGGGTTCAAAAAATAGTTGTAATGTATCAATACTGCAGGATAGGAAAGCATTAATTAAAAAAATGTATGTTTAATTTTCAAGGTGTGAGACAGTGAGAAACAAAGAGGTGGAGGTCAATTCTACATGTGTGACTTCTTGTCTTCTTATTTTTTTTAGAGCTATTTGGATAAAATACCTCCTCTTGCTGACTCATATTTGCCTCTTTGTGTTTAGTGTGTAATTCTTGTGGAGCTGCACACACACACACACACACACACACACACACACACACACACACACACACACACACACACACATGCACACACACCCTCCTCCGTTTCCATACAAAGAAAGCAGCATGTACACTTCACATCAGTTGCAGATAACTTCTGCAAAATTGCGTTTACACCTGCAGAAATGAACATTCTCTCTCACACAGAACTTCACAGAGCCATGCTGTTTTCACAAACTTGTCAAGTGTTTAATTTCTATCCTTGCTGAGGTAGCAGGACGCCTTCACTGCTGGATTCAATCAACTCTCTTGTGTTAACCTCTGAAAGGTGCTGGATGACTACATACCATTTTCATAAATATCAAAACATACAAGGCAAATTTACCAATTGCAAAATACCCTCATTAAATCTTCTCTAACCAAACATATATAATCCTTTAAATGTGTTATGTTTATACAAATTAATGTAAATCGATTAGTTGTCATGTGTACCTGAGGATATATAATAGAAGAAAATAATCTAAAAACATTTTTAACACAGGTCAATTATTGTAAAAAAAAAATATATATTTCCCACATTTGCCCCAAGAGAACAATGTTTAACCCTTTCATTTATGTCAGGAATACAGTTTTGTTTCTTGTTGGTTGAAGTTTCCCAGGGTTGATGCTCACTCTCTGTTCTCATGAGATCATGATTGTTCAACATATGAGGCAATGTCTGAGAAGCCGTCCCACACAGGACGTAGATGCAAAGAGGACAGTGTGTGGGTAGAGCTTTCATTAAACCTAAAGTCTGTCTGTCAAGGTGTGAGACAGTGAGAAACAAAGAGGTGGAGGTCAATTCTACATGTGTGACTTCTTGTCTTCTTATTTTTTTTAGAGCTAATTTTAATTTGTTTTTTTTGCTTGTACTTTTCTCTTCTTTGTCTTCAGCATGCACCTCTACTACAGAGTTCTTATTAGATGTCTATGAAATCAACCTGCTGTAAATTTGAACATTTCTCTAAGCAGAAATCCCTAGTAGGTACCCTACGAATAAAAAGACACATGCTGGTTGTTCTTTTATCCTCTGTAGTCTGTTCTCTGTCAAACTCCTTGATTTCTCCTCCCTGTAAAATAAGCACTGGTGTCCTGTACTCCCCCTATCTGTCTCACTTTTTTATTCCCTTAAGTCGAGCACAGTCAGGTGATGAAACAGCAAAGCTGCCGGAGGGTAACTGTCTGGAACAACACAAATGATGCGTCTCCTCTCAAAATCCTTCACCAAAACATTTGTTAAACATAACCTGAATTAACCTTAAGCCTAAACCTGAGTTCTTGTCCCGATATAACCCCACGATTACGTGGATCTAAGCATAAATTCATGGTTCACTAGTAAAGGTGTGAAAAGTGTGGTTTCACTTCAGGGTCAGGTGGTTCATGATGGAAACAGGCAGAATTTGGTTTGGTCTTTACATGAGAACTGACAAATGCCCCCATGAGAGACAATAGAAATGGGCAGATGAAAATTTTGCAATGATAAGTCTTATTATAGAAAGGTATAATTATTATTCCAATTAAATAATTATTTTTCAGTTCAGCTGTGTCTGACAGGGACTGATATGTTTTTCATTCTTGTACATTTCCATACCTTTAAAATTATTGATTTTAAGTTCTATAAGTTCATTAATAAATAAATAAGTTATCAACCCTGTTTCCTACTTTTTTAGTGTTTTCAATTTTTTTTTTTATTTGTATGATCCGTCATACTTGTTCTTTATCCTACGCCTGGGTCCTCTGCTAAAGTCCTGTTAATGTATGCAAGATTACTTGATACCATGTTTTTGTTTTTTAAGCCAACACCCCCAACTATCGATACACATTCTTTATCTATTTCTCTACAAAGAACAGTACACACTTAAACACACACAGTACCAACTGTTTAAAAGTCTCTGACTAACTAACTCTAACTTCAAAAAGGGTGGGTGATTACAGGATCACATACAGTACGACTACCAGTGATTGTTGTTTGGTTTTACTGATAGAGTAATGCAGCTGTAAAGTATTTTTGTAGAGAAAGAAAGAAAGAAAGAAAGAAAGAAAGATAGATAGATAGATAGATAGATAGATAGATAGATAGATAGATAGATAGATAGATAGATAGATAGATAGATAGATAGATAGATAGATAGATAGATAGATAATAATAATAATAATAATAATGCATCAGATTTCATATAGTGCTTTATCAGAGACCCTCAAAGCGCTTTACGTTGGATACATCATTCATTCACTCACACAGTCACGACTGCTCTACCTCCTGAGCTACTGCCACCCCGCTAAGAAAGAAAGAACTCAAAATTTTTGCTAACAACCTTTTAAAGGAACTTGTTTGCAAAAGTTGGTTTTAAGGCACATGAAGCCTCAAGTTGAGACTTACTGGTGTGTCTTAAGTCACTGAAAAAACTTAGATGTCTCATTGTCAGATAGTTACTAATCTTAAACATGAAACATCAGACAGCTAGCTTAAAGTTAGCCAGGCTAATATGTGACAGCACTCTCCTATCCTCTGCTTATGGTGACACAGAAGGCTTCACTCACTGTCAGTTTGGTTGGCTAACCAGTTGCTATGTTAGGCAAAACTTGTTAAAAACACACAAATATAAAACACATAAATATAAACACAACTTTTTTTTCAATAAACAGGAAGTTAGATGCTAGCTCCCTCATGAGAAGTCAACTTAACAATTAGGCTACGAGCAAGTCAAACTAGGGTAAGCACAAAATGAGGTAACAATTTTTATAAGGTTGTGTTTATGATTTATATTTGACAATGTTCTGGAAAACTTCATTCATTGTTCATAATGAATCTGTTATGTTGCTAAGCTACATGTTCTCGCAACAGAAATTGACAGATAACAGCCTCTGACCCCTCTGATATTTTTCTCACTTTAATCAATGATATGTATGTAGTCCTCATATACAGCACAGAGACATCAACAATTACAAACAGCAGGCATTCCTGTGGTGGTGTCTACCTCAATCTCTGACATATCTGTCCCTGTTACCTAATATCATGTCATCACTTAAAAGCGATATGCATTTTGCCAACTCCACAACAAAATGTAAGAGAAGACAAAAAACCTGCAGAGCCTTTGAACTGGTTTCATAACGTGTAAGAAAAAGTTTAGTTTGTTGGATAGGAAAGTTCAGAGGAAACTACCTGTAGTACAAATTAAGAGGCACCCTACTGGAAGTCACTTGATAGTCATCCTCTCCTACAGAAAAAAAGGCAGTGCCAAGTGTGTTTGTGAATCCAAGCGAAACACGTGCCAAAGAGAGCACATCCTTTTCACTGTAAACTGAAGTAATGTGAGCGAGCAGAGACTTTCAGTAAAAATAGAGTGTAAACTGATAAACAAAGCCGCTTCGAAAAGGAAGTGAGAGGTTCAATATCAGAGAGTCGCCCATGCAGCAGAGCTCAGGGAAAATCCAGTCAATGTTTCAATTCTCATAATGTGGCCTACTGTAGGATGTTAACATTCAACAGAGGTTCCTATACAGGTCACCTGCAAAGTCCTCTCTAAGGCGCGATTCTTACACCAGAACAGGCCACGATGTGTCACTTTGATGAAGACATTGACCTTTTCGTCTCATGTGAAATAATACAAGATTCCCTCTTCATCGTAACATTTGGCTCTTATGTAAAAATTACCACAAGCAAAGAAAATGATATCTAGGTCAGAGTATTAGAAAATCTTTCATTTTCTCTCAGCTTACAGTACTCTAATTTGAATTTGAACCAGGTTTCAGTATCTCAAACCTGATCATGTAACCACATATTAACATTTAAGGATGCTCAAGACCGTTGCATTAATCTATTAAAACTGAGAGAAAAAAAAATAAAGAAAAAATAGCCAGAACTGAGTCAGCTAAAAAAAATAAAATAAATAAAAATTTAATAACCAAGAAAAATTTCCTGATCCGGCTACAGTAACTGTACTCAGTGTAACAAAAACACAAAGTAAGGAGTAAGACAGTAAGGTTTGCCCACCAAATCATAATAAGCCAAATGTTGTGTTATGTTTTCACAAAAGTCATGTGAATTAGATCTTGGAACTGGTTCCCTGACCGTATATAGCTCTTTGCCAAATCACATTATGGCTATTTAAAGTCCTCCTTATAATTCTGACAGATTCACATCTGCTTTAAGACCACAGCCTAGCAGTAACACAGTTTACTGCCTCATCTGTTCAGTCCTTGCTGGTAGTCCAACCAGGGGTGTAGCCAGAATTTGTTGACTGGGACTGGCCAGACTAGGGCACAGACTTGAGAAGGAGTAACCTTATAAAGTAAAGTAGGAGGGTTATCTGCACCAATCACATCTACCTTGACATTTGTTATAGAAGAATGTGACAAATGTAAAACTCAAAGGTCAAACTTAATACTTTGAAGAGACAAAGATGTTTGTCATACATCACTATTTTTATCACCCTCAACGGTAAATGTTACTAATTTAAATGCAAAAAGGCCACTATTAAGCTGATAAAACACACACACAAATTCCTTTTGCAATTAGCTATAAATACAAAAAAATATGTGTTTTTCGGGGATTTATGTCATATTTAAAAAGAAAATCAGTTTCCATAAGACTTGAGTGACATATATATTTGCACATGTGGTCAGAACAGCTGTCGTCTTTTCTAGACATGCTGACAGGTGGAAATGAAACTCTTGATCAGCAGTAAGTTTTCTTAAATGTACCATCAAAACTATACCCAAAATTCGATGTATTTTTTATTCACACATGAAGAAAGCAAGCTGGGTAATTGTCCTGGTTGGCTACCTGACTGCTTTCTTCCTCTATACACCCAGTGTGTAGACTAAGCTGCAAAATATCAAAGTTAGCTATATTTAGATACGCTTCGATGTTTATGTTACCCATGACTGAGATAGAGTGTAATATGAATTTTTATAACTTTCTGATGGTTGTTTAGTCTGTGTAGATTGTTTTAATATTACTGCCACCATCACTATTCTTAAAGATGGGGTTGAGCCTGTTAACATCTTGGGTATTTAATGTAGTTTTTTAAAGTGTTTCCTTCACCTGCCTATCAGTCTGCCTTCTTGCCCTGCAACTCCCCTTTCTCTTCCTCTCGCTCACCAGTACTCCAAGTCTCCCACCATCTCTGTCTACACCTCTTTATCCTCCCTTGCTCTCTTTTCTCTCGCTCTTTCTCTATTTAATACATCATCTATTAATGACTTATAACAAGCAAAGGTCATTATATCAGACTAACATGCACCCGTGGGACACCAGCTAACACTTCAGTGTTTATGTGGTCTCATGGTTGCTATAGTAACTACACCCACTGACTCTCGACAAGGATGCTGATTGTTAACTTCAAGTGAAGATGTCAGTGCACATTTTCAGCTTCATTTGTCAACAACAATGTAAAACTGTTGAATCAATTTCAGGAAGACTTTACGATCAGCTGATTGAAAGACTCCTCTCACTTTCTTGCCTTTGTGGCAGCAGCTACATCTAGGGGATGTTTTTGGCTTTAAGTCAGTGGTTCTCAAGTCCAGTCCTCGAGGCCCACTGTCCTGCATGTTTTGGATGTTTCCCTGCTCCAACACACCTGATTCAAATGATCAGCTCGTTATTAAGCCATTACAGAGCTTGATAACGAGCTGATCATTTGAATCAGGTGTGTTGGAGCAGGTAAAACATCCAAAACATGCAGGGCAGTGGGCCTCGAGGACTGGACTTGAGAACCACTGCTTTAAGTTAATGTCAATTTGATTTTCAAAGTACAAAAAAAAATTCATTCCTTCTTGATGTGTCCTTTATTCATACTATAAAAAAAAATCTGTGGCAAATATGTGAGTGATAACCGACAAGCTTATTATGACTAAACCAAACTTTTGTTGTCACACAGAAAAAAATTGTGCTGATGTGGTTATCTGTGGGTCACAAGTGACAGGGTGTAACATCTGCAGCCTGCATTTTCATATCCCACATTACAACTCAAACAACATTTAGCATAAACATTTACCAGCACCAGTTCCAGTGAAGTTCTGATGTTGTGTAAAACATAAATAAAAACAGAATACAATGATTTGTACATCCTTGTCTGCCTGTTACTATTGATAAACTTGATTGTCTTTTTTTTTTTTTTTTTTGTGCAAATATTCACTCATTTTGAATTTGACGGTGCAAAACTTTCCAAAAAAGTTGGGACAGGGGAAACAAAAGTCATGATGATTTGGTGTAATAGGAGAATCCACGAAAGGCTCTATTGTTCAAAGCAAGGATGGGAAGAAGTTCATCATTTTGTGAACAACTGCGTGAGCAAATATTTAAGAAAAAGGTGTTTCAACATAGAATTCAAGGGATTTAGGAATTTCATCATCTGCAGTACGTAATACCATTAAAAGATTCAGGGAATCCAAAGAAATCTCAACAAAAACAGTAAGGCCAAAAATCAACATTGAATGCCTGTGACCTTTGACCCCTCAGGCAGCACTGCATTAAAAACCAACATTATTCTGTGAAGGATTTTACCCTGTGGGTTTACTAACACTTCAGAAAATCATCTGCAAGCGCAAGCTAAAACCCTTCTAGCCAAAGCCAAAGCCAGATATCAAAAACACCCAGAAACGCAGCTGGGTTTTCTGGATCAGGGCCTACCTGAGATAGACTGACGCAAAGTGTGAAAGTGTGCTGAGGGCTGATGAGTCCACGGTTTAAATTGTTTTTGGACACCATGGATGTGGTGTCCTCTGGGCTTTCGAGGAAAATGACAATCCAGACTATTATCAGGTCAAAGTTTAAAAGCTAGCATTTGTTGTGGTACGGGGGTGTGTTAGTGCTCATGGCTAACTGTTATATCTGTGACGACTCCATTAATGCTGAAAGGTCCATAGAGGTTTAGGAGCAACACACGCTGCCATCCAAGCCACATCTTTTAGAGGGACAGCCCTATTTATTTCAGTACGTGTTAAAACAATGTGGCTTCCTTGTAAATGAGTCGGGATGCTAGATCAGTCCCTTTAGTCCAGACCTGTCTCCCACTTAAAATGTGAAAATGAAAATACCTCAACAAAGACCTCAGACTCTTGAGCCACTGAAGATCTACATCGAGCAAGAATGGAAAAGAATTCACTGCCAAAGCTTCAACAATTAGTGTCCTTGTTTCTCTAACACTTCCTGTGTGTTGTTCGAAGGAAAGGTTGTGTAACACAGAGGTAAAACATGACCCTGACCCCGTTATTTTTGAATGTGTCAAATGCATCAAAATTTAAAATGAGTGAATATTTGCAAAAAAATAAAAAAAATAAAAAAAATAAAAAATCAAGTTTATCAGTTTGAACATTAAATATCTTGTCTTTAGTGTATTAATGTTATGATTTGGTGGAATAAAGGTCTAAAAGGTTTTACAAATCATTATGTTCTGTATTTCATTCACATTTTACACCACGTCCTAACTACATTGTAGCGCAAACATCGGACTGATTTAAAGGTGAAGGAGTCTGTGCTCAGATTTGAACATTTTAAAGGTGATCATTCAGATGAGTGCAGATTCTGGAAGTAGGATTTACGTATTGAGTCAAAGAAATCTACCACTACTGAAGACAATGCAACTTTCTGAAAAATAGGTTGATTTGACTGAATCACTTACCTTTTTATTAAAGAGCTTTTGCATGGTGGACAGATGTCCAGATGTTGTTTGGGAGGCTGCACTGGAGTTGTCCACGAACCAGAGGAGAGAGCTGTCAGGAATCGCATTGGTTCCAGTGGACCTGAAAAGGAACAAAATAAAACACTTATTATCAATAATAATAAAAATATTAAAATCCCTGATTTTACTTTTATTATCATTAAAAGTTGAAGTTTAGGTTCGAAGAATAGGTTAAAAAACTGTCAGCTGGGACGCGCAGATAGCCGAGTGAGTTAGCGCGCCCCATGTATGGGGACCACGGTCCCTGAAGTCCGGCTTGAGTCCGGCCCCGGCCATGTGCTGCATGTCCTCCCCCCTCTCTCTCTATCTCCCCACATTTTACTTTGAACTATTATTAAAAGGAAAAAAAATGCCCAAAAAATTACTTAAAAATAAATAAAAATTGAAAAGTGTCACATCGTACATAAAATATCAGTATAAAATTACAGAGAAAAAAAAAAAGAAAATGTCTCAGCAGAGCAGACAGGCTGCATAAGTACATGGTTCGATGGTTTATGGCTCTCAGTATCGAAAACCTACAAAATCTCTGAACTAATGTTGATTCACATCCTTTTTTTTAACCCTGAGTTTTTTTCTTTTCAGTATAAAAAAAACTAAGTGTTTAAAAAATAAAAAACTGGTTTAATCTTTAGAGTTGTTTTGGTTTTCTTCAACTGTATGAGCACATGCACCAAAAAAGGTGAAGTGGTGACCCCTCCTCTCTTTACCACAAACTGTGTTTTAGACAAGTGAGAGACACTGACCATTAAAACCTGGAACAGCAATAAACAAGGAAAAATGTGATATAGTTTATGTTATGTTTGTGTGTTAAATGCAGGACGTGTGTGTAGTAAAATTCAGATCATCTGAATGACGCTCATTGTCTTCATTTACTGAGAGGAGTATGGGTTTGTCTCCAGGACCCCAAAGGAAAACAGATATAGACAAAACACTAAAAAAAAACACTAGCCGTCATCTACTTCCTGAAAAGTTGACTTCTAGGTGCTGCAAGGATTCTGTTTGAAATGGTCTTAGCATCAAATATGTAAAAAATGGACCTAACAGCATAAAACAGTCCTGTAAGGTGCTGCAGTACTGTAAGTCATGACAAACAGGGATGAAATCATGTCATGTGCCTCGAACAGCTATAAACAGTCTCTGATTTGAATGTGTAAATGTCAGCTGAGACAGACGGGGAGCTGCCAGAAGAGGGAACAATCTGTTTCACATGACTATATGAGAGTGAATATATGCACACTGAACATACACTAACATGCTGCATATTGCAAAACATATACTGTATTCAATGTGCATCACTGCACTCACACTCATACACATGTATGTACACACACATTACGTGAAATACATAAAAAACAACACAAGTAGATGAATAAGCATCCAATAGGGTTGAAAAAATCAATACCATGATTTAAACAGCATACTGGTTCTAGACACATTTGTAAGTCCAGTAAATTTATTATGAATGACTCTGTGATCATTACGGGTTTTTTCCATTGACGTCACCTCTCCATATCTGCTAAAACACTTGGTAACACACACTGACAGAACCACAACCAGGAATAAACACACATACAGAGGGCATACATGTGTGCACATTATCTTAACAATATATCAACAAATAAAAGTAATGCACGCACACTGTTTGCACATATGGTACACACACTCATACAGTAAACATGTGAATTAAGATCAATTACAAATGACAACAAACACACAGACAAAAATAATCAGCCACATATGAACTCAATTAACACGTGCTGTACAAATAAATGCTCGCAAATCTAGTGTACAAACATGCAACTGCAGTTATACAAACCTATAGCATTAAACAGCAGAAATCAAATGACCTATTACTGATACACCCTCACAACTAGACATCACTCACACACTTGGAGCAGTGAAAGAAGAAATGTTGTAAATAAAATAACTGTACTTGTACAAGTCTGAATGGTGTAAGACGATGGTGTAACAGGACAAAATAAGAGGATTAACACTGTCTGGGAAACACACACACACACACACACACCACTATATTTTAGGTGCCATTTTGACCACGTAGTAAAATTATGTGTCTCATGTTCAAAGCTTTTGTCCCTGAAGCGGGTGGCCAGGGTTGAATTCCCGCCTGTTGTCGCATGCAGCATGTCACTCCACATTCACTCTCCCTGTTTCCTACTCTATCCACTGTCCTAACAGACCAGCAAAAGGCACAAAAGCCCAAAAATATAATTAAAAAATGACACCACGATATAATTGTACACAATTAGTACAGGGCATCTTGTCTGGACAAATCCAAACAAGTTGTATTATTGCTGTATGTTCACATGCATGTCTTTGCAAAAGAAAAAAACATATTGTATTGTATATATTGTGGCTTGCGTAAAGGTATGTATGCATGCATACTGCAAAAATATACACACACACTCATACAGCTTACATATTTGCAACTGTATACAGAAAAGGTGTGTAAAATTAGTAAAAGAACACACAGTGACAAAAATACACACTTCTGTACGATCACAGCTTTAAGGAAATATTTGAGCTACACACACAAGCACACACACACACACACACACACACACACACACACACACACACACTTATAAAAGAAAAACACACTCAAAAAAGTCATGAAATATTAAGTTTTTGTCATTAGTCTTTGTAATAATCACAAACACACTTGAATAGGCTTTTGTATACACAAATGAAGTTAGAATAATATTCATAATACCAAAATCTGTCAGTCATGCATACACACTAACACAACAAACCAGATCAGAATGTGTCAAAAACACACACATACACACACCAATATACAAGTGGAGTCAAAAATAGATACTCAAACCCATATTGGGCTTATCAAGTAATCACACAGTATTTGGAATAAAACCTACACACTGTTAAACATGTATGCAGCTAGTCAAACAGCACAACTGTAAAGCCCCCCCCCACACACACACACACACACATACACACTCTCACTATCTCTCTCTCTTGCTGACATTACACCGTATGTAATATTACATTTAATAAAAGCACATATTCTGGCATAGAGACTAAAAACATCCAAAATTTTACACATAAATGTACAACATAAAATACAGCCTTAAAACAGCCACTCAGAAAAAAAAGACTCACGAATCACAGATTGTACAAAGTTACACAGCACACATCCAACTAAACAGACATTTACTGTTACTGTACACACACTGATACAAGTATAAAAGTGTATGTTTAAATACACACACACTCACACAAGGAGCAAGTTAGTGAGCCGATTAGTCAAAGTGTCGCCGATGGCAACAAAGAGATGCCACCCACGGACTGTGAGCACGCAACACCAGCTGACTGAAACCATCAACATGTTTATATTTACTTATGGACTTAACAGAGAGACTGACAGCATCTGACATTTTACATCAAGAACTAACCTCTATATGCAAGCAGGTCTTCAAAAACAAGCTCTAGACAATGATTTCATTTACACTCATGGATGCAGGTCTGCAGTTGTTATCAGCAGAGTCAGACTTTAAATGCAAAACCTACTTTTTTAAATAATCATCCTGTATCATAAAATCTTAATAGGAGAGAAAATTATGAGAGCTAATGAGGAAAGGGTAATAAGAGCATTTACTTTGTATGAGTCTTTAAAAAATTCCCAAATTGAATTTATCAAATTCAAAATCATACAATCAAAAAATTAAAACTGCATATCAGAGTCCTCAAAAGACACAAATGTATTCAACACAGCTCTACTCAATCATACAACAAAACACCCATATTGAAATGAGTAATTTCAGTGACCACAGCTGGATTATCAATGAAAGTCGAGCTTTCAACATTGTACGTGCATCGTGCACCCCGAGCTACTGTGTCATTTAGGGACTTGAAACTGCTCTTTTCAATAAAAAAATAAGAGATAAAAGATCAAACAGACGAGCGACATGTGAAACAGAGAATGTAAAAATATGCAAACGTTCTGAAGCAACAGAAGAAAGTGAGTGAAATTATATGTTTAAATGACTGTACAGTCCTACTTAACTATTTGCACCCAAAAGCAGGATTTGTAACTCCAGACACAACACCGCAACAATACTCAGCCTCCTCATATCACTCTTTTTTTTCTTTTTTGTGCATTTGTTGTTGCTGAAAAGGTTAAATACTTTTTTTTTTCCAGTCGAAACTGAGTGGGTAGTCAGAGAAACGATCATTTCATGAGCCGAATTTCCCCTGGTTGCTCTGGTGAATTTATCACTCCAAAGCATCATGGTTTCAGTTTGACTTATGGATTTATTTATACAAAGAAAACAAGACTGACACCAATTAACACTAAAAACAGTCACAGGTTATTTGTTGGACCGAACTGTGAATTTTCACATTGACGTACAACACGAAAACAAGCTCAAATGTCGTGTTAGGGTTTCAGTATCTGCTGTACTTTCAGTATGACCGAACATTTCATCAAATTCAAGAGTGGTAACGCTGGTATTGTGGAATACGTTTTTGATAATTATCGTTATATTTCAAAACAAGATAAAAACATTTCTCAGCTCAGGTATAAACCACATTTTTTATGTTATTGTGCAATAGACATAGTGCTTAGATTAGATTCAGCATAGTAAAGTTAAAACAGCATTGCTAACCTTTGTTAGTAAAAATCTGATAATGTAGCACATGAAAGTCACAAATTTTTTAGCAGTTCATCTGCCTGAAATAAAATAAAAAAGCAGTTGCAACCTTTTAACACCACTCCACCCACACCGAAAAGTTTATATGTCACCTCTGCAGGATCATTGATCAAAGAAATTCTCCTTCTGATTCAGAGTTTCATTTTTACTAGGAGATTTATTCAAAAAAACACACAAACCTGAAGCAAAGTAACCGCACTCTGTGCACAATCCAGGTTCGAATAATTACCGAGCACTCTCCTCTACACTCATGTCACTAGTCTAACTTTGTTGTTCGCATTTGAGCATGAGGAAGTGCTCAGGGGCCTGTGATAAAACACCACCGACTACAATTTTTTAAGGTCCGGCAAACAAAGTAAACACAAAGTCATATCAGAACCAAAGTCGACAATTTTTCTCCAGATAGCTGAGCCAGGGTATGACTGTGTGGGATGTAAATAGCTGTTGCTGGAGACGATCATACCTCTGACCTGTTTTAGAAAGTTCACCTGAAACCTGTGACATCATCTAACATGACCGAATTGCCCAGAAATATCGTCTGTCAATTTTTGTTTTTTACTATCAAAATTAGTCAGACAGAAGAGAAGGAGACATCGAGGCTGAGCTTTGATGCGATCAGACGCATGGTGTGTGTGTGTTTTTAAAAGTGAAAAGGAAGCTGAGAGGATGAGAGAGAGGTGGGTAGAGGAGAAGAGATACTTTTCCTCTTTCTCTACCACGGTTGTTTATCTCACAGTCTGACTGAGAGGCAAATAGAGAGCACAAAGATTTTTAAAAAAGGTTTCTTACCAATACAGGCTGTTAAAAATCCATTTATCTCCATTTTATCTCCAAATTAGCTGGTTAAACAGACTGCTTTTATTCTTATTTTGGTGTAAGAACATGAGCTAAAATAGCCTATCTTTTATAGGTCTGTTGGAACTAATTTGGGTAGAAAGAGATCAAAACTAGAAGACAGAAAAGACATTACAAGAGAAAAAATAAAGGATGACACAAAAGGAAATGATGGGAGATTTTTTTCCACGATGAAAAAAATGTTTGTCATACATTAAGCATCATATTCACCAGTCATACTTCAGATTTCAGTCTGACTTGTTTCTAAAATGTGGGCTCAGTCTGAATCATGTCACCTTTAATGCCTCACCGATCAAAACACTTCTCTTTTCCGTTCAGTTTCGCAGCCAGCAGACAAGCATAAATGTCTGCCTCTTTTAAGTGCTGTGAAAGCAGAAAAGAGAAAGAGAAAAAAGGATCAAAAAAGGACAAAAAAACAAAGAAAGAGAGACTGAAAGGGAGAAAACAGGCTGGTTAAATTGTGGTGCGTGTCGACCTGCTCAGTTGACAGAGCAGCGACATGTGGGAGGCAGAGCAGAGGCCATGCTGTGGTCTCCATTTTGAAGCCAGATGTGAAAACGACACCACCCTCTGTTCAAAGTGTTGAAGTGGTAAAGAGAAAACCAGTGATAAACAGGCCTCAAACACCTACATGATGACTGATTTATCTCCAAATAACAGCAGCTTAATGTCAGCTTATCTTTAGCATTTTACCTTCTTCTTTTTTTTTTACAAACCTCACAGTAAATATTCAGCCTGCAGGATTTTTACATGAATATTCTCAGGAGAAACTTAAATCCTATGAAAATACACTGTACATGGACTTCTGATTCACCTTCAAGCAGATGCCATCAGGGATCTAATCGAGTAGTTTTAAAGTTATTCACTGACTAATAAGTAATCCATCTGAGCTCTGCCGGTTTAAAAAAAAGACGAGAAAGTTGAGCCCGGAAAAACTATCTTGAGAAAGTGACTAATTGACACCCACGCCTCAAAGTCTACCATCATAGTGCCGCTTTGCATTGAACGCCAAATATAATGCTTAATGAGTTCTGCTACAGAGACTTTAGGTCAAAACCTTTGCTGCGACAGAAATACATCTAAATGGCTCATGCAGGGGAAAAAAGCGTTGGAGGTCTGTTCTGTGTGAGGGTGCAGAGTACTGATAAAGACCAGAGAAGAGTCAGACTTTTCTGATTTCTATAGACATGCTGGTGACATCCTCAAAGAAGCTCTAAACTGAGCATCTGAACAGAAACCAACTACAGGCTTGGTGCATGTAGTGAGCTTGGCGTGAGCTGCTTACTAGCTTTGGGAGTATCAGAGGTCATGTAACATAATAGATCTTGGAGTCGGCCCTCGCTTGGAGTAAAAGATGAGGAGAGAAGTCAGTGCGTAAAGTGAGGAAACTCATGAAACTTCATGAAGTTACACTGCTGTGTATGTGATTGTGAGTGTCATTGGAGAGTCTAATGTTGAGATGACCTTTAAACAGACTGAGAAGTCAAGATAAGACAACGTTGAGTGTTTCTATGAGTCTTTCTTCAAGCCAAACATAAGCAGGGACCCCGAGGAGAGGACTTAGCTTGATGTGGATTCTGCCAAGGCTAGTTTGATGTCCCCTTCTGGAGACCCAGATTAACATTTTTGTGTATGGCTCATATCATCTTTTTGGATTTTTGAGTGTTTTTCTAACTCCTATCAGTAGTTTAAGTTTTTGTAAAGTTTTTTAAGGGACCCGGATATTCTACCGGGTCTGAAAGTCATTGACCTAACAGTTAATGGTTTTATAAAGTCGGCTTGTATGTTACGTACATGTTAGTGTCGTCTACATAGTTGCCAAGTCTGCTGATTATAAGCGACTTTGGGCTTCTTTTTCTCAGAAGTCGCTTGTAAAACTAGCGAGTCGCGATTTGCGGTTTTTCAGGCTTGTTTTTAACGAGTAGTTGCTTATTTGGGCTTGCTTTTCTGTCTGTGTGACCCCCCACCCTGATTATCTCTCAGCTCCCCACAAAAGCAAAGTAAAACGTGAGTGCGGTAAGTAGTTTGTCCTTTCCAGACCACCGTTTCCTGAATCGTGCCCGCTTGAGTAGCCGGCACGCCCTCTAACACACTCACACGGCGCATCATGCCCATGCGCCAGAGCCCAGAGTGATAAAGAAATGGGCAAGGAGAGAGAGTGAGAGTGAGTGGCTGTAAGTGGGGAAAATATGAAAAAATTTAAGTCTTCAACCCAAAATCTTTTCTTTTAACCAAAGTTTCAAAACTTCAGTTATTTAAAGAATTTAAATTACTCAAAGTTTTCATGTTAACTGTGTTAATTATAATTTTGCAGTTGCTAATGCACAATGTAATAATGAATGTACAGGGTTTCCCTTACATGTAATTGATCGTGGCGCACAGCCACAACAAGATAAAAGCCACCACACTTTCAAAATGAGTTTTGTTTTTTTTACACCTGGGCGTCGCACCGTGGGGCGCATCGTGTATTAGCAAGTCCTGTGGGAACCACTGATATATATTTTTACCATCAACCAGAGGCCATTGTTTTACACAATGTGGCAGGTTGCCTGTTGGGTTTGTTTTGGGCTTGTTTTCATAGAGCTGGTTGCTTGTTTCTCTCAGGAGATCTGGCAACACTGTTTATCAACTTTTAGGGGCAGATGTTCAGGCACTCAGACCTGGATCTGGTAAAGTATCTGACTACATTCCTTAAAACTTGCTAAAACTATTTTAAAAGCATCATATTTTGAGCAGATTTACTCTCTCTTGGGTGAACTGTGGACCTGTCTTAGTGCATGGGCCACCTCTCTCTTCCTATCCTCTGCAAAACACTAGAGACGATGGTCCAAGATTTAAAGCTGTTTTCTCCTGACCTAAATCACACTTGTTCAGACGCTCAGTTCAACTATGTGCTATAACTTTCACCCTAGACTAGAGCGTACGGAATATCATGTCCTTAAAAGTTCACGTTCTCCTGAACTTACAGGCAGATGCACAAAACACTGTTTTTATTCTCCAACACTCTCTGACAACAAGCAACATTGGGAGACAACAAGCAGAACAAAACTCCCTTCAGACACCTTTACTGATATACATGACAACTACATATGATTACATGAAATAAGCATTTTCTCTTTGGATCATAGGACATGATATTTATTCATATATTAATATATTTATCAAGAGTTTACACTGACCAGTGAACAAATTTCAATCACACAATCTGACAGAGTTCAGAGCCACACTGAGAGTTTAGTTTACAGTGTGATAGCCTGTCCCTAACTTCAGTAATAGAAAACAACTCAGCACCTGCATAGAAGTTTGTCCAGATTTTCTCTTTACTAGAAAATTACTACTTTGCACTTAGTTGACTCAGTTCATCAGGGAAAGTTGCTCATCCTACAGACCAAGACAAACAGTAGGGAAGATTTGATGTTTTCAGGACAACAACAGCCACAACATGGCTGTCTGTGCTTGCCACTTCCTCAAAGTCTCCTCAGTAAACATAGGCAAGTATGATCTAGATTTGCGTCTCAACAGTCACTGTAACCTGGGACTGTTTATCATGTTCAGAACCACAAGCTGTCAGTAATGTTATAACAGGAGCTTATTTAATGAGAGCTAACATATACTAATGTGGCTAAATAAGGAGCTTAGTAGGTGCTAACGGTTAACCCCATCTGTAGGAGTAACTTTCGGGTCATTGGAAGACCACAGAGCTAAAAACACACAAAGGCTGAGTCTAACTTTGAAGCAGAGGAAAAGCAACCAAAACTAAGGGTTTCAGTCAGAAACTGAACAGTGGTGGAATGAAGGTTTTCTCAAACACAAACACAAAATAGATAAGATAGAACTGCAAAGCATGCAGATGTACTCAGTGGGTGTCCTACACTGACATAATAAAGGATGAAGAACGAGTGTAAGAGGTCTCCTTAAATATTTACCTTACAAATGTGTCTTTTATTCAGTCCACCCTACAGCTTTACTAAAAAAGGACATATAGCTTAATTCAACCAGATACAAGGCTGACATGTGTAAATTAGCAATTCAAACTTTGACCTTCTTTGTAGGTCTTTGGAGTTTTTGGCAAAGTAAAGGCCACTTTGATTCTCTTTCCATGTGCTCTTTCTGCCTTTCACAGCAAAACAAAGAGGTTTTGTGCAAAATTGTGAGTAAGAGCATAAAAAACTACAAATTTTAACTGTGAAAAGAAAGTACAGCATGTAAATCAAATTCTTTTGTGCTTTGTAGGTTTACAAGAAAAGCCTTTTTGCTCAAACATCCTTGAACATGAATATCTATCAGCATCTTCAGACGATAAGAAGTTGATTTTATCAGGTCAGGTGGGAAGTAAACTAACTATCACACGATGTTCTCATCACAGCCAGTGTCTGTCTGTCTGTTTGTCTGTCTGCTGTGTGTGTGTGTGTGTGTGTGTGTGTGTGTGTGTGTGTGTGTGTGTGTGTGTGTGTGTGTGTGTGTGTGTGTGTGTGTGTGTGTGTGTGTGTGTGTGTGTCGGTGGCATGCAGACACTGCAGAGTTGCCCTGATGTGAGAGACTGCAGGCCTCCTACAGTCTGGGAGACAAGACAACCACAAGTGGGAGAGGTCTCACGCACACACGTATTCACACTCAACTGCACACACCCACAGCCAATGATAAGAGTGAAAACTCATCTTTAAAAACTTTCTTCAGGAAAGCCCTGTCTACACTTGAGTCATAAAATGTTTGTTTTTTAAAAAATGAGAAATTAAATCTATCGGTGAACTAATACTTTTTAAAATCTGATTAAAGATCAACATAAACTTCTTCATGAAAAGTTTTCTGCTCTGAAGTCAAAGAAATTGATTTTTTTTATTCAACATTTCAAAATGTTTGGCTGCACTCTCTTTCAAGACAAGACTACAGACCAGAGTGACTAAACATGTTCTGTGATTGTATTCATTTCTCCCTGACGTTACAGATGAGACACCTTCATTTCCATTTAATGTGCCAATTTAGAAATCTGGTGCCATATAAAACGCCCACAGCAAGATTACTCTCATTTTCGCTCACTATATTTCATGTGATCTGATGTTTTCCACCGTATGAAAATAATTACAGTAATTACACAAAGAGCTATAACAAAGGATATTCTTTGTTGTGGTTTTAGTACAACAGTGAAGAGGTAAGACATGCAGCTGTGCTGTCGGCACCAAATAATCCTGCGTTTATTGTACTATCCCCCTTGTGGTAAACCTCGAAAAATAGCTGCTCCATCAGAGAACAACAAAAATGATAATAAACTGATTTAGACATGTGCTCCAGGAGTGATGATTTAATAATAAAAGCATTTATAAAAAAAAATAAAAAAATAAAGCTTATACACTCACTAACTTTTAAATAAAAGTTCTAAAACTGTTGACTCACTGTGTCCTAAAGTGCAAAAACACAGCTATAAATAATGCCGATTTGTTTTTATTTATTGTGCTGGGAGCTAAATGAACGCTCATACAACCTTCAGGGTAGAGGATGCACTTAACAACAGACTAAAAATAGTCATGTTAAAATACTGCAAAATTCTTAGTGGTATTCAAGGACATGTGAGATTAATACATAAATGACAAAAGAGACACACAAAACATTTCTCATAATTTTTTCCCACAGGGCAAATCTTCACACCGGCATCTGTTGCATCATTTGGGGTTATTTTTAAAGAAGTACACATGATATACCAGGGTACACCCAAGTGATTGTGTAACTTCAATCCTAAAGGTTATGAAATATTTGCAAGTCATGATTAAAGTTGGACCAGCCTTTTCTTCTTCTTTTTTTTTTTGTTTTGTTTTGATGTGAGATTTTGAAAGCTTGATGCAGCTTTCTAATAAACTTCTCAATGATGCTGCAGAGGATTTAGACAAGAGAAAGAAAAGTTGAAGAAAATATGAGTCACAGGAGTTATTAGTTGCAGTTTTTCACACTTATCATGTTGACAGTTCACAGCGTAGGATTGTGAGAAGTGATTTTTTTTGGATGCAGCTGTGCCCACCTGTCTTTGTGAGAAAGTTGTGAGAAATATCCAAAACATTTCTCTTAATTCTTTGTATTTTCTGACAGGCAATTTTAAATAGATGGGTATGCTTTTTGATGATTACAATAAAACAGCCAGAAAAAATACTGCACAATACACACACGCTACATGATGTAGAGGCGTGCTGATTATTACACAAATTTTGCTAAATGTCTTTCTTGTATTGTAAAGGATACGCTTATCTCGAGTTAGGTTGTATTTTTGCATCTCAGTTTACCGAAATGAGAGATTCTGATCAAACTGTTGTCAGCAAAGAGGGTTGAACCCAGCAGCAGCAGCAGCTTTCTCAAAGAGTTTTATTGAGTCTTAAAGCCACAGACTTCCCTCAATCCATCCATCATTTGAAATAAAAATATAAGAATGAAAACGCTGCTGGCTTTGAGGTGAGTGTTCAGACGTCTCTGCCAGATCGCAGCCGTAAAGTATAGTCCTGTAGAGGAACTGACACAGTTTGTCCTCTCCAGCTAACAGATGAATCATGACAGGGAAAATAATAAATGTGGTTCAGAGTGAAGTCCTTCTCAAATTGTTTGCCGTTTTGGTCACTCCCTCAGCCCTCTCTTGTTTTGCATTTGCCAGCTGGCAGCTTTCACCGTCATTTAAAGCAGAGCAGCAGTAAATCAAGATGGCAAGTATTGGGTGGTTCATCCATGAAGTCTGTGAGGCTCTGGTTTTAGCTGTATCATAAAGGAGTGGTTCTGTCATTGGCTAACAATGCCACTGATTGAGATGCTAAGCAAAAATCCACATCAGCTCTGTGCCGTGGACGATACTTCGAAGTGGTTACTGGACAAATGACCACCTGTAAAGGAGCAAGCATCAGTATGCTAGTGGTGAATCACAATGAGCAGATAGTTTTTTGTTTGCTGGTACCCTAGACTGAAGTATTGTTGATATTTTCTTTTTGTGGAGCAGAGTTAGACGTTAGCACTTTTGGCCTTGAAGTGACCCTAACGTTTTTGGAGAGTCCTGAAAACCTTTTTGAAGGGAGGTTAAACATTGACACATGAAACCACAAAACCCTCTGTTCGGTCAGTTTGAGAGAGGGCAAAAGTGGACGCTTTCAAGGCAATATCAGTTGTTTTAATCCTGTTCATATGATTAGAAAGAAAAGATGATACAAAGAGAGTAAATCAAGGATAATCCACTGAAATTCTTCAGTAAACCTCTGCTTAGTTTAAAGCTTTGTAGACTAATCCTGTTGCAAAATAATTACATAATTTCCTGTCCAACCTTCGTCCGCCCACATGAATACACAATTTTTACTACTTTTCCCCTGCAATTATAATCCATCTAACACAATTCACATACAAGGAACACAAACAGGGTCCCTGTGGACTCCAAACAAAGATTTACTCCAAGCAGAGCAGTCATAGGTGAATGTAAGATGAAAATTAGTTTTAACTGTATCTGTCTTAGTCTGTGTGCTTGTACACACAACAAACATGAACTCAGTACGGTTTAAAATGCACATTGCGGCAGCTGTGGAGTGGTCTGCTTTAATAGTGTCAGCTTCAGTAAAGAGACAGACGGTGAGCAGACTACAATGATCGCTCAGCACATGATCGGTGTAACTCACATGAGCAGGTTGTTTTCTCACACGCTGAGGCTGCAGACAGGAACAATAATGAGGGAATCCATCATAAATGAACAGGTGACTATTGGAGGGGTTATTATGTGTATGCCAGTATCTGCGTGTGTGGGTGTGTGTGGGTGGGGGGTAGAAACACACTGCATGTAGTCAGCAAAGTCAGGTGAGATTACTGTTCTTTTTTTCTTTGTCAATTTCTGAAAAACAAAACTGAGAAAGGTTTGTGGGTTTCATGCTTTACTATTCAGGGAGACGTGTTTGTCAGGAGGCAACCGTAACGCTGAATGTTGACATTTAACATTGTGTGTGTATGTGTGTGTGTGTGCCATCTGTGGAGCCAAATAAAGCCCACACACTCTTCTCACATGAACCCTCAGCACTAAATGTGATTTTTTTTCTTCTTTTTTCATCCTCTTGTTTTCAATGTTGAGGAAGCCTTAACGTTTCTCATTCGATCATGCACTTAAACAGCTTGTCAATTCATTACTAAGTTGACTGTGAAATATCCGCAAACACAACCATGAGTGTAAATTTGAGCAAAAATGTTACTGGTGTGAGCTTTTATTCTGTTTGCAAAGTGTGAATGTTTAGGCATTTTCTTTTGGTATGATTTAATCACAGTTTAAATAAAAATGCTGATAATGAGTTAAGAGCTCCAAACTGCAATAATACTGTATCATTTAAAAATACACCAACAAGGTCGTATCCCTCTGTTTTTGGTTCTCCCATGATGTGCAAAGCTCAAAGCTCGTGTAAGTGGCTGCAGCATAGTCAGTAAAAGGTCACATCCTCCTCATAACACACTCCCTCTGTTTTTCTGTCAGTAAAAATACACTAAGCATATTTTTTTGGACTCCTTGGGCTCGTAAGATAACAAGGTCATGGACCTGCAGTTTGCAGCCGTGTGCAATATTCAAATTAGTTTTTTTCTTTGAATGTAAACATTCAAAGGTCTCACTCTTCTGTTTTAAATGCCATACTGTCAACATCAGGAAATGCATCAAACTGCAGAGAGAAAAGTGACATTTCTGACGCAAATATGAGAACAACAGTTAATATTCCACTTACTCACTCACTCACGGTATCAGATTAAAAGGTATCTCAGGTCATGTCTGATTAGCAATAACATGACCAACACTCTGGTGTCGTTAACTGAATCGGATCATAAGTTATATTTCATGCTAGCTTTATTTAATAAAAGGGAAGTAATCCTAAAATTCAGAACCTTAACACCAACAGATTTATTAAGATTTCTGCCCTCATCTCTGTTGACACATTCTGACTCCCAAGTCTTCAAATAGACCAATCTGTCATGGACCATATGATTCAAAAGCTGAGAGCCCACAGCACCAACTAAGTATGTTTGCACATGCAGGATTCATCAGTCAAGGTGAGAATAATTGCAAGTAAACTCAAAGCCTGTACAGTGATCAAGTTTGCTCCAATACAGAAGCAGCAGTCAGTTTAATTCAACCTACTGAATGAAATGAACTGACTGACAGTTTACACATATGACCTTTGGTAGCACAAATATCATTAGCACTCACTGTTATTAACACACATAATAGACTTGCATGTATATTTCATGACTTAGAAAGATGTCAAGTTTGATCATCTTTGAGAGACTCTGGCAATCTCTGTTTACACTGTCTTTTATCCTCTTAAGAAAGACATAAACCCTCTCATCTTCACACTGCTGCATGCCAGAAAAACACCTTTTTTGTGGAAATATTGATTCTTTAAAAAATAAAAGTTCATACCCCAACATGTTCAGACAGCTCTAAATAATCCAAAAACACTGAAACCTTCCTGAAAACCTCACTCAGAAGAAGTGCAGAACATTATCTTTGTCCTGAAAATAAAACAGATCCACTGACGGGAAAGGATGGACTTCAGTCCAGATGGCACAGAAGGAAAAATCGGGTTGACCACAAATGAAAAAACATGTTGTTGAAGTAGTTTACCATCCTGAGCCACTGACCACCCTAACCAGTCATTGTTGTTTGGGGCATAACCATCTGTGACCTGTCATTCTGGTGCAGCTTCTTGGACAAGCAGTGGAGGAATTTTTTTTCAAACAATTTCACCGAGTGTGCCAGTCACACAGCAGAGCACCAGGATGTGAAACAGATTTCACACCAAAATCACAAAATGATTCACCAGTTTGAACTAAAACAGTTGATAAGTTACCAAAAGATTTTACGTTTTATAACAAGTCAGGTGACAGATGTAAGAGCGGCCTGCGGAGCTTCTGCACCCCAACCATCATTTATAACATCCATCCTCCACACAATAGACTGACCCCACCACCTTTGATCAGCTCAGTTATAGAGGATTTATGCTGCATTCCAGTTACCTCAGAAGTCAGATGTCGAAGCTGAAAATGACGTCACACCCTAGTTACCAGCGTTTCAGTGACCAAGTCAGAAAATAGCAAAATCAGAGGCGGAAACAAGATGGCTACATCTACGAAAGTTATTTTAGTGCTTGCCTTGTCCGAATCAAAACAAGGCAAGCGCTAAAATAACTTTCGTAGATGTAGCTATCTTGTTTCCACCTCCTATTTTGTTTTTCGGTAACTGAAACGCTGGTAACTCCGGCGTTACGTCACTTTCAGCTCTGACATCTGACTTTCGAAGTAACTCGAACGCAGCTACAGTCCTCCATCAGAGTGGTCCAGGTTTGAATCCCACCCCAGGTCCTTTGCCAGGTGTCATTCCCTGATTCCCTGATCTCACCACCCAGTTTCCTTTCTTTCCCTCGTCTGTAACGTTAGAAAGGCACAGAGATTTTGTCAGGACAATTTTAAGGTGCTTGAAAAAGACATGCAAAAGTGTTGCAAAAAACACAAACCAGATAAAAATGATCAGTCAAGGTGACTCACAAAGATCCCTGCATGCAAGTGACACACTCTGCTGGATAATATGACAACAAGATGTACTGTCCATGTTCGCGTGTGTTGAGACAAAAGATATGTGGGTGTCTTGAGTGTTTATCTGCGTGACACGGTATGAGGGTGTTAGCAGCTTTTGGGTCTAAGTGTTTGTGTGGGTTAGTGTGCTGTCAGTGGGACTGGATGACTTAATGATAATCATCTCTCATTTCCATAACCGACATGCTTCATGGCAGGATCCTTCCCTCATTTCCTTATGAAGCTTCACAACAGCAGTAAGTAGACACAAACATCAGACAAGTGAACCTCCTCTCTACAAAACAATGTGCGCCGTCACTTAACACTCAGCCATTTAAGTGACCTAGATGTTTAAGGATAATCCATTTCTGTCGGATGTAAACACCGGGATGTTGCTGTTTGTTTTTAATGCTGCTATTGATTCAACATCCTCTTGCATGGAGGCCTTACATAACTGGCTTAATACCAATGTGTCAGCACGCATACAGAGGTTATTTTAGTGCAGATCCTCTCCTCAGTTAAAAGGAAGTTGATCGATTATTAAAATGTCCCTTTGAGAATGAACGGCTGCTGCTTGATGCTCATAATTAAATATTAAAATTCATAGATGTCAAAGTTTAAAACTGTCTTTTAATTGTATTGTGGGTTATATCACATTATAGCCTCTTACACTGTTTTGCTGAGATTTCTTTTACTCATACTAATGTTGGGGCAGCCAGCTCAGTAGTCGCCCATTAGTCCTTGATGCATCTACTGCAAGTGCAACTCCCAGCCTCTGCCCTTTCGTGATTTCTCACCTACTGTCCTATATCAACAAATGCTCTGAGAATAAAAATATCTTCATGTTTAAAAAAACAAACAAACATGCACATTAATCTGAGGCCCGGGTTGGTTTAACAGCTTTAAGTGTACAACCCACAAACTGAGTCAACAGTCCTCATCACTGGTTCAAGTCCCGACCATAAACCCTCACTGCATGTCACCTCCCACTCTTTACTCCCCACATTTCCTGTCACTCTTCAGCTTTCTTACCAAGAAAAGGCCGAAAGGTGACCAAATAAACTCTTAAAACCCTCAAATGTCTGAGGGTGTTTTTGTATTACTCCTGGGAAAAGAAATCCCATAAGGCTTAATCTGAACCAGAATTAACCCAATAATTTCCAGAAAGATATCTTGTGTCAGGGTATCGTATGCCAGCAACATTGCTAAAAAGGTTGTGGAGAGTAAAAAAAACTCTTAGGGATCATGGATTCACAGATGTCAGCTCTCATTTCAAGACACTTAAGAGTAAATTCTCTGACTGTGTGGGCTGATTTCTTCTGCTCATTCCAAGCAATTCATGTCTTCTTCCTATTTCTGTTTACAATTTTATTTTACAATGTCATTTAGCAGACACTTTTTATCAAAAGCGATGTAACATTCAGACAACTAATTCCCTTCACACACCACTGGGCACAGCCAGCAGGTCTTATCCAAGGACCCTGCAGCACACAGCTCTGGAATCGAACCCCCAACCTTCTTTTTGTGAGATGACCGATTCCAGCAGCCGAGCCACTGCTGCCCCAGAGTATTTTTCAGCTCTTAGTCTTTTCATTATTAAAACTAGCATTGACAAGATCCCAAATGGTGTTTTTGGGAAAAGATTAAAATTATGACACCCAAATTGCTCAAAAATTCAAGTCTAAGTGCACAAAAACAACTGGACCTACCAAAGCCTACACGATTTTAAAAATTCTTCAAATGTTCAAATCCACAAGCTGCAGAAAAGTCACAGATGCAGAAACAACTTTTGTCTGTTCAGACTTTCTTCCACATCTCAAAGAATCTTTCTTGGTGTCTGACCCATCTGGTGTATTGCTCTGCAGACACAACCAGACATCCAGCATCCAAGGTGATGTTGTTATTGGTTCTGGTGCAGTCCTCTGTGAATCACACAGTTAGGTGGAGGGAAAGGGTCACCTTCATGAGTAGGATAGTTCCTGTCAGTGTCACATATGATTTATTTTCCTCTTGTTTTGTAGATGTGAACAGATTTGGCAAATGCAGCTGTGAGTAGTTCACGGAGCAGTGCTGTTGGGGGAGTTCCTCTGAAAAAAATGCTTATCGGTCCTGAATGGTGTGGTTACTTAACGCATCAAGGCAACAAAAAATGCTAACACAGTCGTTCTGACACCTGATGAGCTGACTGTGTGTAGGGAGCAGAAAAAGTGAACTTAGCATTGAGAAATACATGTTGGTAACTGAAAACAGCACTGTCTTCAGCCCTTAGTACAGAGGTAAGTTTAAATGTGAGTGTTAGGACGTAAAAATCCTAACTGAGCTTCAATCAGGTGTTTAACAATGCTTTACTCTCTTAAAACTTTTCTAAAGTTTGTACTTGTGCAGTTCTGTGCCATATTAATGCAAAACTGCAAAGAAAATGAAGGCCGAGGTGTTAGTGAATTGGAATAGCTCTGAAACTCCTGATACAGACAATAACAGGCTCAGTTAAACATGCTGAGACAGAAGTCTGGGAGTCCTCTCCAGGAAACTCTGATCATATCACACTTAGATCTCTGTATTTGGATGAGTATTTCTGTAAAAAATTGCAGTGGAAATCTAATTATGTAAAGGGAAACACAGAATGATTCAAACATAATTGAAAATTAAAACCAGTTCCTGCTTGAAGCTTACAATCTCAGATAGTTGGATCTTTATTTTACACATGGCTGTTTTAAAACTGTAGTTTAATGTGAATCAAATGACTGATGAACTGAACACACTTGAATAAAATAACTACCTGTGGTGTTTTTCTTAGACATAAAGGTACCTTGTGTACCCCCTGAGAATAACACGAGCTGTCACTTTATTACACACTACCAGTACAGTAGATGCTTCTTAAAGAAATGCATATGAAAAAGCAGAGCAGATCTAAAGTCAAACATTAACATATTTTATGTATGTACCTCTAACTGATTGATTGATTGATATAGCTCCACATAGTGTAAATAATGCTCTTTAATTTACAGTGTGGAGGAGGGCTGTAAACGCCCCATAGTCACGAATACATCCTGTAGACGTGTCTCCCCACAGCTAAATAAAGATCTCCAGCCTAATGCATCGGAGAGAGACTCATAACCACAATAATTTAGCGGTTGTCTTTTTCTTATCATTACGGTTTAAATGGAAATCCTCCATGATTCAAACTGTAGATAAGAGATAAGAGATTTTCAATCAGGGAAGCAAAAGCGAAGACAAAGACGTCACTTTCATCCAAAGTATTTAACACCGTGAGTTCAGTTTCACAGAAATAGAGACAGAAATCCCACTGCGAGCAAAAAACATCATTCCTCAGTATTCACACATTTCTGACTGTAAAGTTTGTGTGCCCTGTAGCTACAGCTTTCTTCTCTGTTACTCGTTCAACAGGTACACATAGCTCAAACTATCTCAGCCCAACAGGCTTACAGCCATCCTGCTACATATCCTCACAATGTAAAATCTAAAACACATGCAGCTTTTGTTCAAACTGTATCAAATGAGGATTTATTGTACTGTTTAGTCTGTCAGAGGCCCAAGGTGGATATGTTATAACTACACATTCTTCTGTTGTTATTATATCATAAAATTTACAACAACATAAATATCGGCCACCGAAATGACCACAAACTTAAAACAAAACAACGTGTCTGTGACACAGTACCTGAGTATGCGAGCAGCCTCATACAAAGTTCATGTTTATCACTTCTCAATGAGACATACACACACTGTCAAAGCTACTTTTGTGTCTCCTTTTTTGTTTCCACCTTATTTTTCTTTTAAAAGTGCACAATTTTATGTAGGGATTTTGTGGGCTCTACAAAATTATCATCACATTAATCACTTAATTGTAAAATAACCATGAAATCATTTGTAAATTATAAAAATCAAGTTTTTAAATCTTAACATTAAAATCCATAACAGTAACTCCTAAATGATGTGTTTTTTTTTTTGTTTATCTGCACCATTCATTTTACACAACCCACAAAGTAACAGGTCTTATCTGTTTAGGTGTCAGGTGGCTCAGTAGATGTCTGTAGTATGCTGCCTCCAGAAAGCATGTATTTAACCTTTAGCATTTCTAATATTTAAATAGATTTTAACGGCTGACTTAAAGTGAGAGGCAGCAGCAGGGTGAATATTATCTTCCCCGAGACCGCAGGTGACTCAGAAACATGAAAACACACTCACACAAAGAGAAAGATGTGAAACTTAAAATATTTAAAGTTCAAAGAAAATGAAATTCAAAGCCTGATGTTGTTTTCACAATCAGCTGCTCGTTTGAAGATGTTTTAGGACTTGATGCCACATTTCTCTTTCATGGAGCGGCATGACTCAGAAGTTAAGTAGGAGGCATTTATCAGCCCTGCAGACTCAAGTATTTAAATGTGACTGAGAATTATTGTACAAATATAATAATCAGATTACTGAACAGTATTCTACCTGCTTTGGTCTCTTTGTGGTTGGATTGAATAAATCTGCCAATCTGACTCAAAAACTCAACTTGAACATATTCAAATAAAAGTAATAGATATACGAGTAGATCTAATGTTTTGCATTGATCTAGGTCACTCTCTATCTTCATATCTTTAAGAAAAGTAAAGATTGCTGATAATTATTATTTATCCCTGCTTGAGTGAGCTTTATGATTCTATGTGTGAAAGTGTGAGGAGGAAAAAAACAACACCAAAATGTCAAATGTCTACCTTCTCATCACACAGGAAGCCTCTGTGACATTTGCATTATCAGCTCCTTGTTGTTTTTATGTTTACAGAGAAATAAAACACCAGTCAACAACATGCTGCAGTCATTTCATATCATGTGAGGGTGTTCCTCCCCTCTTCTTAAGATTAATATCTTACTTTAATCAATTTAGCCTGCTATTTTTTTTTTATCAAAGCACGGGGGTGTAAAATATTCCAGTGTCTAGTTTATTTTAGGTCTATATTATGAAATACTCACAACGCAACAAAATCACTGGAGCTCGATGTTTTACACGAGGAATACTTTAAGATTCAATCAGTTTTTTCCTTGAAATAGACGATTATAAGTACAGAAGTGAGAAATGTAGGCTAAATACGGTACACAGCAGTAATAAAAAGCGCAAACTCGCTGCAAAATAGCCTCGCGCTGCGTCAAGAATGAGCGCAACGGTTCAGGAAAAATGCGGATAATTCACGGACGCACAGTAAAGTAACATTTCTTTCCTAAACACTGCTTCGACTTTTCTAATGAACTGCGGAGACATTTTAGTGCGTTTTGACAGCAGAGGATCAGCAGACATCTTTTTTCAGGTCTAAACTAAAATTTTGCAAAACAAAAAGCGAAAATACAATACTCAGACAAAAAGATAGAAATCACAGCCAGAGTGTCATTGCGGGATTACTAATCAAGCACAGGCCTCTGATGAATAAGTGTAAGCCTATCTTGTGACTAATCTTGAGTCATTTTAAGAAGCTTCAACTGAGTCTAGATCCAACATCTGTGAAGGAAAAGACGATGGAATAAAGAACTTTCATGCGTATTATAGGATATAAAAAACGAGGATTTTTGCAATTTTTTCCCGATTTTTTGGAAGGAGAAAAACTCCAGGTGACATCATTTTTAAGAGTCTTGTTCATGTTTTTTTTAATACCCTTTAGATTTTACTTTTTCAACAAACATTTTACATTTTATATGTGAGGCTGATATATATATATATATTTCAGTAGGCTAAATACAGGGTAAGTCTAATATCTTAGTACCGTGATTTTGTGTCATTTTTTCTGCATTATTGTTTCGGTAAAAATCCAACCCATCTGTGCAAACAAAATAAAATACGTATTTTATCTGCAGGCTCACAAAAGCCACACGATAGGAGACACGATTATTCCCGTTAAGAGTTATTACAAAGCAAAACTATATATTAATAATGACCAAAACGACTACTGAACGTACACCCTTTAGTTACCAAAGTGTCATTGATGCAGATGTGAGATAAAGCAGTGGTTTGAAGGAGGCCTATCGTTAGCTATGAGTGCTTTACGGAGTAGTTAACACAACAAGTACAAAATAAAGTCAATTTTAGTGATACTTAAAATGGATACACCATTTAGACCACAAGCAGGCTAATATTATCGGTACAATCAGGTGGTTCTTTCTCTTTATATGCGGCCTTGGGTGTTTCCCTGATAACCGCTGTGTCCTTCTCAACACTCAACAGATACTAGCTCCCACTGAAGCAAACAAAGACTCTATGTTAAACTATGATTTGTAGTCGCTGGTTTCACTTAAAATTTGTGTTACATCGAAATATCAACACTAAACGTCGAAAACTGTCATTGAAAATGAAGCTAAATGTGTTTTACAGTCAGCAGAGTAAATTCAAAAGATTGTAGCAGGGCTAAACACTGCACGAGTCAACAGGTTGAGTTCTATGAGACGATGCCGCCCTCTAGTGGAGACAGAAATTGACTGCATCAATCGTTGTTTGTGCTCGTCACTGTTTTCTATATTTTTACTATATAGTGTTATTTACCGAGCGTCATGTCAGACAGTCTACTACACGGTGTCGGTGTTTTTCACACCCACAGACAGATGTTTACCCACAGTCAGGCAAACAGTGTGAGGAATGTTGAAGAGGAGGAAGCAGTCAAACTCTGCCCAGAAACCAACAGGACACAAAATCAGCCTGCTACACCATGACCAAAGTCACTTCAGTACCACACTTAGATTGATATTTATGGTCAATAATAGTTTTCTAACATGTACAGACCCTGTTCATTTATTCAAATCACATGTTGAACACAGAATTAGGCTACCACTTTCATTGAGTTTTAGGTAAAGGCTTAATACTTCCTCGAACACAACCCATACAAGAGTCCTGACAATGCTTTGTTATTGTACGATGAACTGAGAGCAAAAAAAAGGAGAAAAGTTTTCATTTAACGTCATCAAACATTGTCAATCCACAAGCTGCTCGAAAGTTTAAGCCAATTCAGATTCAAAAATGTTTCATGAATAAAGTTTAACAGACAGGTAAAAACAAAACAAGAAACTAAAACACCAACATAAATAACATCATATTTATTGTATAGATAATGTCCGAATTACAATTTCACAAAACAATTGTAAGCCTTGGCCCTAGTATCTTGCAGTAAAAGACACAACACACACGACATAAAAGCTTCGAGCAAGTCTGCCATCACTACACACACGTCATATGCAATCTTTTCACAAGTCCTGCAGCTTTCCGCCTGCTTCTGTGTCTCATGAGATCTGCCGCCTGTTTTTAAAAGATCTGAAGATTCATTCATCTGCTGACTTTCAATATTTATTTTTTCAACTGTGTTGCCCATAAATATTGACAATGGCAAAATAAATAGCTCTTTCTTTCATGGTTGGTCTTTTATTAGTATTTTTCTATTGCTGTCTATTTCTATGCTCACTTTCTGTCTTTTATTTTGTGTTGGACTTGGGGCTGCATTCTTTTATGATTGACAGGTGCTGAAGTTATCAACACAGGTGTTTTAATGTGACGCTCTTTAGGCTGCGTGTTTGGGTGAAAGGTGCTGTATAAAACAGAGCAGAGCTGAGTCATCAACAAAAAGTCAAAGATATTCAGTTGAGTATCATTATGTGACAAAGGCAAACCCCAGGCCCCTTCATTTCAGAAGCTTTTACTGGACAAAATTTGGAATGAAAATGGTGATTTTATAAACTATTTTCAGATTATTTGGCAATAAAAATGCCAAAAGACCTACCAAGGGAGAACAAATATAAGTTTGTTCAAGCCAACTTTGTTATGATGCCTTACAAATGATCAATTTATGAACTTTTGCTTATGCTGCGTGGGAACAGTGAGTTTGTAGAGCTTGTTATCACCAAAAAGTTGTCTTTACTTCATTAAAAAAAGAGAGATAATAAAATCATCAGCTGTAAGATACTCTTACTATCCTCTAAATAATTGTTTCCCATTTCTGTTATTTCTCTATAAGAAAACCTAAAAATACAGGAAATATTCTTGTTATCCCAAAGAGGGTAGGAATAGTAACATATGTCAGGCAACAAGTTCAACTACTTTACATATAATATGAGTTCTTGTGTACGTCGTTGTCATTTGTGACTTCTCTTACAACCCCTGAGTAATAACCAGAGTTCTCAGTCATTTACTGTATCTCAGAGCGTAGATTTGTGATGAGTCAAGGTGCAACACAACACACACACCTACGCACGCCCACACAACTAAAGTGACCCACTACTGTTTTCACTTTGACTGGCTGTTTAGCTGTGACATTTACCTCTCTAAAACCTGTTATCTTACTCATGAGAACAGACGCATGCACACACAGTCTCCGGACCTACGACATGTACAGAAAACTCACAATGATTTACAGTTATAATCTCAGGTAATTTACTAAACTAGTTACGAAAAACAACCTGAATCATAATATGAGTCTGTCTACCTCTATATGCGGTAAATCAACCCCTCATTCGAAAAACTACAGGTAACTTACTCATGTTTCTCTACAGTGAGAAGGCATTTTAAGGACATTGTCATGGTTTCACGTTTAGACAAACAAAAACCAGTTTGATTCAAACCAGTACTAGGCTCATACAAGTACATAAATGCACACTTCAAAGCATGCATACATTTATAGATCTGGCCCAAATTTGCTCATGTCTCCTGTTGTTTGCTCTCCTCCTAACTTTACCCCTTACATAACAACATAATGTCCTTTTTACCTGGTTTTGTTGTTAATCAATAACATTATTTTCACAGAACTAGCTCAGGCATGGTTGCTGTCATGCAAAACTATCATCCACATTCAGATGAGATAAGAACTGTATTTACTCGAGGCTGTGATATGAAGGACAGCCACATCAGACACGCAAGTTTTTTTCTCTTTTTTTATTTTAGATGTATGGGGGTTGAAGAGTGTTTGGCGTGTCTCTACCCGGCAACAGAACGCTGAGTCATCTCTGTCATAGCCCTCCCACACCTACCCATGCTGCACTGCTCTCAGTCTCTCTCAGTGGTGGAGATGCATAGAATTGATACCAAAACTAACTGCATCACTTGATCCAGACCCACAAAAGACAAAAACACACGTTTACCGTAAATCAGGGGAGCTTTGACGGAACAGGGCTGGCATATGTGGGTGTGAGTGTACTGTGTGTGTGGGTGTGTGTGTGTGTGTAAATCCTCTTATGATAAGGTATGGAAACTGATACCACTTATATAACATTATGAAGAGTGTGGGAGAGAGAAAAAGACTAAAGGGCAAGACGGAGAGTCAAAGAAATATCAAAGACGTGTCAAATATATAAAAATGTCCTCCTGAAGCTGCAATTTTTCCTTTTCTTCATCTTTAAACCAAATCTCAAAGCTGGCTACTTATCAGCGCTGACATATATGAAGGTCAAGGTAATCCAACAACTATTACATGGTTGGGTGAAGACACAGATTTAAGTTAATGCATCATCTGTAAATTGGTTCACCGGCAACCAATCACCTGTGGTTCTGAAAATGAGGAGATCATTGATAGGGTTTGATATCAGCAGTTTTTTGAAAAGGAATCAGAGTTCAGAGGGAAAATGTTCAGACAATAGACTGTATAAAAATAGGCAACGCACCAATTCCCCAAGAGTGAAGCCAAAATATTTACAATTTTTCCTGGTGACTGGCTGCAGTAGAGGCCATAAAGCGCGCCCCCTCCATAAATGTAGCATCGATAAACCCGTAATTCAAAATATGCATCAAATAAAAGCTTCCCCAAAAATGGTCTCTGTCACATCAGTTAGCTCTTATCATAATGATTTGTGTTCAAAATTTGTTTCCAGAGGCGTTAACGAGTTATTTTTCTAAAAAAAAATAGAATGTTAGGTCTTGATTGACAGCTAAGTTGATTAATGGGGCTCTTTTAGATTAGCAGAGTAGAGAAAACAGCAAGAGAAAGCATGATGAACATTAACGTAACAGTCCCTGAACTTTCTAGAAATATCAGTGTCAGTTTCAGATTAACACTGGAATCTGCTCTGCTGTGGACAGTCCTGTCCTGTGGGATCTTTGCTGCCCGATAAGAAAGTTAATAGGTCAACACTGTCAATGGCATAGACCTGTCCTGTTGATTGGTTACAGTAAAACGTTCGAAAGTTTGACTATTTAATAGGCTAATTAGAGTTTAACCAACAACTAATGTTAGCATTGCACCACATCCAAGCTTGCTTTGCATTGTAGAGAATCAACTTCGTACTTATTTGAAAGGGTTAACACTTCGTAAGTGATATAGACTTGGAGCAATTTCCAAATTAACAGTAAAATTTGCTGGTTAGCTAATGCTAATGCTAGATGTTGTCTTGCTGTGTCTGCTCTACCAATTAGGCAATGTTGTTGAAGCTTAGTATTCCCTCAATATGTTCTCTGTCCTCTCAGATGCTGATCAATAAAAATGCATCAAGATGTTAAAAATACCCTTAATATTAAGACTTACAACTGATAACACGAAAACATCTGAGTTTTCATTCATATGCTCATCAACATTGTTTGAAGATGGTCTGTCAAATAAGAATTGTTTTTCCTGAGTCTAAGGGAGGAAAGCTCTTTGTGTCTTCAGTCCATTGAAAGATATGTTGTAAAGTAAAATCTAATGTCATGTGGCCATTTCTTCTTATAGTACAGCAGATGTTGTAACCTGTTATAAACCATTGTAAGACAGCAAAATAACTCCCAGGCTAAAGTTAAATTTTAGATGCATGAAAGACTAAAATGAACTGGCCTCTGGTGAATTTTTGAGAACAATTGCACATGAGCTGACACACAGACACACACAGGCCTACAGCCACAAAACAGCAGAGCTCAAAATCCACCACAGCACCAAATGTAGTGCTCTTGGTTTTACAAGTTTCAATTCCAAATAGATTAAAAGACATTGACGATACAAATCTACAGAAAAAAATTAGCCATGAGGTGTCTCTTAATTTTCTAAATTTTATTTTGCTAAAGAGCATTTAAGTTTCCCTCTACATGTACAACCCCAATTCAGAAAAGTCGGTATGCTATGTATATTTTTGATAAAACAGAGTTTAAATTTGACTCCAGCCAAACATTTCAACAAGTGTTGGGGTGGGGACAGCAAATCACTGGAAAAGTTGTGTGAACAGTAAGATGAACGTCCTCCAACTTACAAGTAATTGAGCTCTGTGTGAGAGACTGTGTGATCTGGCAGTTAAACAGAAACAAAATGTTTCTCAGCATAAAACTACCAAAGTTTGGGGTATTTCATCATCTATAGAGTAAAATCAGTAACATCCATCTTTAAAATATTCAAAGAATCTAGAGAAATCTCGGCACAAAGCCAAAGGCCAACTGAATGGGCTCTATTTTCGTGCCTTGCCGGCAGCATGGCGCAGAAGGGCATAAGTCAGGTCTGCCGTGCCAAAAAGGCGTGCCCAAGCATACTTTGGTATTTTGGTGAGCGGCACAGCCCGGCGTAAGTATCCCCCCTCCCTAACTCAGCTCCTCCCAGCGGCATAAGTAGTAGAGAGGGAGGGGATAAGGCGTGGAGAGGGTTTAACACTGCCAAGACCTGTTTTCACCAATCACATCAGCTCCTCTCCTCACCTTTAAATCCGCCACTGGTGACGCATATCACAATTTTCATGCAGTACTCGAAGAGATCAAGAGATGGCTCAAGACAGCAATGCCACATGATGGCGACAGAAGAGCCAGCATTGGTGATGGTATGAGGATTACACAACTGGGAAAGAACCATTAATACAGGTTTGGAAGCAATATATGCTGCATCCAGCCTATATCTTCTGAAGATGCCAAACTATAGCATGGCTCTGTAGTAGAAGTGATACATCTGGTGCTAAACTGTCCCGCCTGCAGAAGTTTGGTACATCATAAAGTGAAAAACACGACAAAAGAGACGCCAAAATGTTTGGCAGCTAAAGTCACACTTCAGCCAAGAATAGGACAAAATTTCGGTTTCACATCTTCTTCAGTTCACAGTCCAGTAAAAAGCTTTTAGGGAATGAACAAAAATGGAAAAAAATTAACTTCTAGTTCCCTTTGATCTGCTGGGGCGATGGTTTCAGAGTTATATTAGCTAAGTGTTAGACTGTCAGACGGAAAGACAGATACATCAGACTACATACATATGATGACAAGTCAGGCACAAAGATCTAATCAGACTCGCTGATGCAGCAATAAATCTAATGTGCCGAAACCATTGTCAAATCATCTGATGCACACCAGAGTAGCAAGGAGGTGGAAAATGTGAGTCGAGCTGATATTCTCAGATACAAGATAAAGACATGGAGAGCCTTCATGTCTAAAGAAGCATGCTAGTGCAAGTTAATGGACCTAGACGAAAAAACTGTGATTGCCACGGACAAAACTTATGTATGCATCAATAGATTAGCTAAACATCAGTATTTGGGTCAGTATTTTCCTATCAGCCAATCAAAAAATGTGCTATGCACCAATGTCGGTAGCTAATGTTTACTAGTTGTATCGCATCAATTTAATGCAACCAAATCAGTAGGCTATATCTAACCACTAACTTTTATTCCAAGAAGTGGTTTCAGTATTGTACCTGATTTTCACAATTAGTGTATCATTTAAAACAATCATACGTTTTTATGTATGATCGAACATCTTAAACAAGAAGAAAGTGGACAAGCAAGTCGTGCAGACTCAAGAAGCAAATGTCTGACTAAACAAAGTTTTTAATCTAGATTGCAGTAAAGAACGTGTTATTGTCTCATGTACGCAGATATAACATACCACTCAAAGATCCTGTGTTACATGCCTCAGTGCAGATTATGAAACTCCCACTAACGTCACACAAAGACTCAGTCCTGTACACAGATTGATCTGAGAGATTAAAATGCCTCTAAATTCTGTAATGACTTTTTTCTATCAAAGCACATTCTGCAATATCATCAGGATATCGAACACCACTACTTTCACTTCAGCCCTTCACAGGTGCGGTCAGTGTGTCACACCATAATTGCATGACTAAGTTTGGAGAAGCGGGCAACTTGCCTCGTGCCAAATTTAGTCGATATTTGCCGCAACTTATCAGCTGCCAAAAACTCAACGCAATCGTCCTCAAGGTTGCTTTTTTCTGTAAAGGTTTCTATTTGTTTTTTTTTTCCCATTACTGCAGGGTGGAAACAGTTCTCACATGCTATGCTATTTCCTACTTTGAGGAAACTCCTGTATGATACTCTATTTACCATCAAAAGGGATTGATTAACTGCTTTACAGAATCTTTAAAGATACGGAAACATACTTAAAAGACAAATCAAAAAGCGTTTCGGTTTGTTATAAAAGTCAAATCGGAAAACATCTGCAATATTTTCCATCTGGCTCTCGCATTCATCCTGCTGTGTAGCCCTCTATCTTCTTCAGTCTTTTAAATAAACACTTGAAATCTAGAAAATGGTCCGTTTAACTAAACTCTCTTATTGGAAAGCTTAAACTAGAGCAACAGCGCACTTTCCTCATGCCCCAGTATCCAAACTCAAAAAGAGTTTCTTTGACCTGCTTTCAATTTGAGCCTGATAAATGCCAGCCAAAGTGTAAGAAAATGATGTGGGGTTGTCTCCACTCACCAGTTTGTCGGTCTTCATCCTCCTCTTCATCAGAAAGTCTTCACTGAGGACTATGAAAGGCTGCGAAAGAGAGAGAAGACAGGAAAAAGAAGAGAGAAGGAATGTTTTAATCACTCTGAAGGAAGCCAGTTATCTTCCCACACACATTGCTGAGTATGCTGCTCACACAGACACATTTCCATACAGAAAACACACACACACACTGAAATAACCCCCCAAAGGTCAAGGATGAGTCAGGAAAAAAGAGAGAAAGAAAAGGGAAAGGAGACCAAGAGAACAGAAAATGAAAAGGGCTAGAGAGGGAAAGAGGAATGAATAAAATGTAGACAGAAAAGCAGATGACAGAAAGAGAGGAGAGAGAGAGAGAGAGAGTGGGGAGCGAGAGAATGAAATGCATGGCTTGGCTGAGTCATCGGTAACCACCACTTCCTCCAAAAGCTCTCTACTAATGAGTGGCCAACTTTGAGAGGCAAGCACAAACACACTCAAAGGCATTCACATGTATAAAAAAAGAAAAATCTGCTTTTACTGAGAAATGTCTTCTTTTTTAGTCGTTCAGCTTCAACATGCTTGCTCTATTTTTGTTTGTATAACAGAAAGCCTGAGAAGTCAACCCATGAACTGACCTCACAGTGTGTGTGTCATGAGAAACGGCCCAGCCTCCTGCTAAATTCAGTCATGGTACTTCTATTTTCCCAGAATTCCCAGAGCATTTTTTCCATCTTGTAAAAAAGTTTGTGATGAGTCTGCTTTACATCCAGACTATATGTTCATGTTGTAATATGACTTTCTAGCTAACAAGAAATGTTAGCAAACTTTTGTAAACTCAGAAGAATGACACAGCCTTTGTGTTAAAGTAAACCAATGTAATTTCTAAAAGAAACAACACTGTTATATTTTCCAATCTTCACTCAAATTCCAATATGTCTTAAATGTGTTGTAATCAATCATATTTAACTTAAATCACCTGCTTAAACTCAGACTGGACAGTCTATCACTGCTACAGACCGTCAACTGTAGTTTCCTTTTGATCCAACAGAGGGCATACTTCAAGGCCGCAAACAAGTTGACGTCCGGCATGCCTTGAGTTTTGTTCGATTTAAAAGAAGAGGACGCGAGTGAGGACATGGTCGTGGTCCCAAAGCGTCTAAGGGCAGTGTGGAGGTGTTTTAACTCTTAAATGAAGATGCTAATAAATATTTAAGCACATCCCTGCTCATCTGATGCACTCAGGGAATTTGCTGCTACAGCATCTGTAATTACGACCTGTGTCCAGTGGCCATTAATTCACTAAAACTAAGCCTTTGAGTGAAGAGCAAGAGCCAGCAGTTTTTGCATAGCTTAGCATAAATCTTGCAGCAAAGGAAACAGCCTTGCCCTTTCTGGAAAATGAGCATGCCAACAGTTTACAAAATCACGTACTGTATCTTGTTTGTTTAATCTGAAAAGAAACAAAAATGTTCCTGAAACAGTCAAAGGTTTCACTTTGGTTTGGAAGCTGTAATTCACCGAGCAATAGTTCCACCAAATGAGTAAAAAAAACTATCAAACTGTGTCTTTAATTTCTCATTCAATCAAATTCTGAATACAAGATTAAGAGCTCCTTATAAGAGTATTTGCTTTGTTAAACATAGGGATAGCTGCTACCCTGTAAACATGTTCTTGGTGGAAAATTGAGCCTCTACAATTCAAACCCACATATGGGCAAAAGTGAGACTTGACATGTACAGTTTCAGACCATTTGGTTTAAGACAAGTGACCCTTTAATCATTCAGGATGAGCAACACTTGGTTTCTTGATCTGAGCTTCTACTTTGGTTTAGGCCATTCTCGATTTTATCTTTTTTTTTTAATCCACGTGGGCATGACTGGAAATGGTTTCATTTTATGTCATTTTCTTTGTCTCTAGTCTCTTGCAAATCAGCACTCTGCAAACATCTGCACACTTGACCCGACCCGCACTTTCTGTGACATTTGGCATCTTGTCATCTAGCACAAGGTTAGACATATTGGCCCAGGACCTGTAGAGTGACACGTAAAAACTGAATGATTGTGTCATCCTGAGAATCCTGTATTTATTTGTGCTTCTCGTACAGTCAAATTTAACCCCACAGATACTCGCACATAGTAAGCAATATTTGTGTGTCAACCCGATCCCTGTCCAAAAAAGAGGATTCATACAAGACTTGACCATATTTCTATGATCTACTTTGAATTCACTTCAAATATCAGCCTTTTCTCTGGGGTGGTTGCGATAAAATGAGTTCCTGCCTGTCCAACTCAGTCTCTCATCCGGTGGAAGTCATGGGAATTTGGTAAATACACACATCCTCCTCTGCAGTTCCCACACTTTACTCAGCTCGCACAAGCGCACACATGTATTTAGATGCTACAGACACAGAGAGGACGGTACAGATGTGGACATGATGTTCATATTATTTTAAGACCTACAGACATTAACGAGAATGGGAAGTAGCATTGTAACGAAAGCAACTTTGGCCTTGTTTTTCAAGCTTAATGCAATGAACAGGATATGACAGCTCTGCAGTGTTAACAGGCACACTGGCTGCAGACTGTAAGCATCAATTCCTGGTAGAAAACCATCTAACCTGAAAATAAAAAGCATCATCACTGTTGTGAACATTTTTTCACAACATGTCAAGAGCCAGAGTGAGATGACGCACACAGTATTATTATTTCATTTGTAACACAAGTATGAAGGCTTTTTTTTTATCTAAATAACTTATCTTTTGATTTTATAACAAAGCAAAGAATTTGGGGGTTTCACCAACTAATCAACTAGTTGGCTACTCTAACCACTAGTCTGTTGCTGTTGGCAACAGTCAACTTATTTGCAGACAAAATGGGGGATCTCACTAGGAAGGGGGCTGACCTTGGCGTTGAGATGCAGGTAGAGGCCCAAGCTAAACAGGCTTGACAATCAGGTGTATGGAAATACTTCCAAATGACACAAATGCTACAGTTATAGGTTATTCATGCATGGCTGTACTGAAGCACAACAAGACATCTGCCATGCTTAACCACCTCAAGATGAAACACCTGCTGCCGACAGCTACCGCTAGTTGATGACTAATTTGACAAAGATCTTTGCGTACATAACAAAGCAACGCTTCTTCGGGAGCCAATGGGTGTTCATGTTTTATATGGTTTTAATAAAAGGTGGCGCCAGGCAAAAAGTAATGGGATTTGCAACGACATGATAAAACAACATACTTGACAGCAACCATCAGGCAACAGCTAACTAGCGTTCAGCGACTTTCTAGCTACCGTTGGTGTTTGCTATGTATTTCAGCATTATTTGTTCTATCATGTGACACTGTCTGTAGAGACCATATGAACCTTATGAGTAGGGTCACCATATTCTGACTTCCCAAAAAGAGGACACGACTACGTGGGGGCAGAGTCACGGAGTCGCACAAAGTTAATTTTGAGAGTTTTTCAGGTTGGATCAAGTGTCTTTTACGTGCTTCTAACACAGTAAGTCCACGTGACACAAACTCGAAACTGATGTTCAAAACCGCAGACATTTGAAGGATTTTATAAATTTTCCCGGACAAAGCCAGACAAACCCAGACAGCCCCCAAAAAGAGGACATATCCGGGTAAAAAAGGACATATGGTCACCCTATTAGAGGTCAGCTGGTCATCAGTCATGACACCCAGATTATGGGCAGACTTGCTGAGCATGAGTTGAATCCAAGAACATGTTTACATGAGTTTCACTTGCAGCTTTGGAGTGGTAGCAAAGATAAGAAATAGTTAAAAAACTGCCAGCTCATGAAAGTGCTCTTTGTAGGAGGATTGTAGGAGATTGAGTCAACAGATGAGTTAAGGAGGTTACATATGACACATTATCTCAAAATGAAGTGCACTTTTGGCTTCATGGCACCAACAGCAACAGTGTGCTTTTAAGATATACTGGATGTACTCAAATAAAACAAAACGTTCTCTGAGCTAAAATTAAAGTTTTAAAGACAAAAAAAGCATCAGACTTGTCTGGCTTGTACGATTATTTAAAGTGTCCTATAGTAGCGTTTACAAAGACACGAATGAACTTCTTTTTATATAGAAACATGCACCCTTTAAGACTCTGGGCAGAAATTTTCTTCATAAACTGCCATATAATTACTTGTCCTACAAAGTCACCACTTATGGCTGAAAGTAGTGCTTGGCAAATGTTCTTTCAGTGCCTGCCGACTGTCTTCCTGTCAAATTATTCCTGGATGTTCAGAACATTTTATTTGACAATGTGCAGTGGTAAGATGAGCTTGGATCCAGAGCTGCAAAGAACATTGTGCTCTGAAACATTAACTTTGAATTGTTATGGTTGCACTTGGCCGATCAACTCCAAAATGAAATACTTTTGTGCTGAGCTGAGAAATGTTAAAATATTGTTTTGGTGGGTTAAAGGGATATTCTTCATGGAAATGCAATCAGACTGAGACGCTAAGGCAGAAGAACTACCACGTCTGCAGTGTAAAATGATTAATATGATGATTATTACTTCAAGGAAATGATAAAGTAATGATCATAAATGTTCTTCCTTGAGCTGCGTCACCTCACTGCAGTCGATGGACTTGCCCAGAGGTCTACGTACAAACAAGCGGCTACTGGAAGAGAGTGGGTGAGTTGTGTTTAGTCTCTTTGCTAAAGAAATCAGGCAAAGTTATAAAGGTGTTTGGTGGCTAATGCTATGGCTGGGACCCTATATGTACTGTTGATGAAGTTAGGTGCTGTTCTGAGCATTATTTGTGGCTATAGAGTGGCTTTTTGGTTGAGGTTTGTTTATGGCTCCTGGGACCGTTGTTTATTGCTATCGTGCGGTCATTACTAAAGTTGGTATAACTAGAGAAGCAAGCAGTCGGCAACATTCATCTTTTGAGGGGGTGTCTAACTCTGTGTTACGGTGTGTTTGACCCCAACTTAATTTTACGCCAGAATATCCCTTTAACTTGTGTGGGTTTGTTCGTCTGCAATAGAGATGCCGACCTTCAGAGTAAGGAGTTTATTCTTGGTGGGCTTTTTGTGTGGCATCAGGTCATCTGTATCTCTTGATTGTGACAAAATGAATAAAAATGTTGATCTTTATTTGATTTATGAACCTGAGTGATGAGCTAAGAAGCTGACACTGATGTTCTGTTATCTCAGGTGTTTACTCTCCCACATGAGCACTGACTGATAAAGGAGGCAGCATGAGTCACCAGACATTGCTCATCATCACTCTGCAGAGGGTCTCACTGACTCAGCAGGTGACAGGAGCTCTCATGCTTCGCTCATTACAGTCATCAGGAGAAGTCAGAGAGGGTTGAGTCTCGGGGTATTTCCGCACAAGACAGTGTGAATGTGATTTATTTAAAATCCAAAATTAGATCCAGAATACAGTCTGTAGTGAAAAAAGGTTTCATTCATATTGGACTGTTTGACCTATTATATTTTGATGAAGGTCATTTCAAAACAGAGTTCACACCAATGTGATCATAAGAAATAAACATAAAGTAGAAAATGTGTTAAAACCAAAAGCTAAACTCTAACTGTAGCTTGTTTGACTTTGTGTTTAAGTGTTTCAGTGTGTTGAAGTTATTCAAATCTAGTCTTAAAAAACACTTTATTTCCCCAGAATATTTCCATCACTCATGTTCCCCCTCAGTCCTTTCCACAGCCTCAAAACCACACTACCTCCTCTGTCTCCCCAGACTTGAAGTCACCATAACTGGCTGCTGTGTGAGAAAATGGAACAAATTGTCTGGTGAAGTTTAACCGTGGAAACTTAATTAGGCGATGTCTGGGAGATTTCACAAATAAAGGGAAAGAATCAACATCCACATCGAGCATTAAGTGATGGCCTCTTTCTGTTAATGTCACATTATATTTAGAATTGTACAAGGGTGAACAGATATCATATGGTTATAATATTCATCACCCAGCAGACTCATCCTCTCCAGGGAGGGAGAGAAAACCTACCATCGTAAAGACAATCGATCTAAGGTAGTGGTTCTCAACTGGTCTCACTCTGGACCCACATTTTCCCATGGTCCTTAAGTCGCGTCCCACTTTTATATGATTCAAACCAACCAAATTTATTTTTTATAAATAAAAAAAACCTTTAAAGACTCTAATCTTTAACATAAATCCACTTCTTTTATTGATTGAAATGCATTCAGAGCACATGAAGGGGACAACATGAGGAAGACAACTACTGAAGTTGCATATACAGAAAATTTCAAATATCTAACAAACATCGCATTAAATATTTACTTTTTTGACCAGCTGTTCATGACCCATCCAGAACGTGTCTGTGACCCACTTTTGGGTCGGGACCCACCAGTTGAGAACCACTGATCTGAGGCGTTGCATTTTGCAGTTCTTAACTCCATAAAACACTATTTTGAAAAAAGACAAGCTTTTCAGATGAACAATACTATCCGCCCTTTGCTATGAAAAGGCCCCAATACTTTCTGCACTAGCACAAAGATGCCACTGGGTGTCAGTGTGGAGTGTGGGAATAAACTGTAAAAGTACTGTGTCATAATAGAAATTGCAATACATCTAAGTGGTACACCTACAGTTCAGTTCAGCCTCTGTTTTGGGAGTTACAAAGCTGTCCACACAAATGAGTCATATGAAGTTTAACAGGTAGGTTATTGCTTTGGAAGTCCAAAGGTCGCTTTCATAAAGCAGCTCAGCAGAGGCTGGGTAGTCGGAGCTTGAATTTTTGTTGCGTAAGGCTCAAATTTTGATAAATAGAAGGAGTCTAGAAAGTGGAAAACTCCACCTAACACAGTACAAACATACTGTAGGAAATGTGCACTATTAAATCAAGCATAAATATTGGAATAAACTAGCCACAGCATCAATGATAGTCATAACAGCCTCATCCAGAACTAATGGTTGCCCCAGATTTACTTTTCGTTTGAGTTTTTATTCTATTTTAAGCCCTTTCCTTTGTCTCCCACTGCTTTCCTTCTACATTCCCTTCATCTCCACTCAAACCCCTGACTCCTTTTTCATCTCCATCCCGGCCGGGAGAGTCTGAGATGTGTCAGAGGGCTGCAGAGGATCTGACTCACCGCCTTCAGAGTCTAAACACTATTAGTTTCCAGGTGGAGCACTGAGACACTATTGTGTTTCTGATTAGCCCACCAAGACACTCGGGACAGTTGGGGGGGAGGGAGGAGTGTGAGGCACTCTCCCAGCAGAAAATGTGGTTTAGAAGTCTTTGTGGGTTTGCTTGTGTTTGCATCAAGTGATTTTGTAGGAGGGACGTTTTGTGCATTTTCCAAGATTTCTGTGTGTGTGTGCTAATGATCAAACTATGATTAACGTCTGAGTGAGACCACCAGGACTGCTGCTCTAGGTGGGAGGCCTGTGTTTTCACAGAGGGTCCGCCGGTGAGTCAGTGAAACCTTTAGATTGATATCATTGCCCACAGTTGCTTCACAGGGAACCACCCAACAATGACACAAACACCTCAAATACAACTGTCTCAGTCACTGCTGTGGGTAACATGACGTTAATACCATTTTCATTTTGTATCACCAGCAGATGATATGCATTAATCTTGTCGCTGATGGTCTTGGTTGATTTTATGTGTCATTAAAAGGCATCAACATAAATTTCGGTCCATTTAATAAACATAAAAAAAATTCTCTTTTGAACAACGCACCAAATATCTCATTGATCTGTTTGCAAAGTTAAAGTAAAATCAACAATCAACATCAATTGCCCATCATGTATTACAGCAAATACAGGGTCTCTGTCTAATAACACTTTTGTGTCTTTAGGAAATGTTTTAAGGTCATGTAAAAAAATTCTGGTTTTGTGATCCACTATGGTTTTGATTAAGCTTTGTCTTTGTTCTTAATGTTTTATTCTTCATCTGTTGTGTGTTTTTTGTGTTACTGAAACACAGTCTTAACAGGGCTAACTGAGAAGTATCAATTTATTTATTTCAAACGATTTTTCTTCTAACAGCAAACTAATTGTTTATTCCGTTCAGAGAAAAAAAATTATCATGAAAATTATATGCAGACTACAGTGTGTCAAGTGACCAAAAGTGCAGAGAAATGTTTAAATTATCATTTTCTGAAGCTTCTGAGAAAGGTATTTTTAAAAAATGTGTAAAAACCAAAAGTAAGTCCAGAGCAAATCTGCATCTAAATGATCAGATTGTTATTCACGAATCATTCCAGGGGGTTGATTGTGATGAAACGATCCTACACACAGATCAATTAAACAATAACTGCTGAGTGATTCATTTTGTGATTCTGTTTTTCTGATATACATGAAAGGGTTGGAAAAAATAACACTAAAGTTTCATTAGAACGCAAACTTCACAAGACAAGCCTGCAGTTTCTGTTCATGTGAATATCAGTCAACAAAGCAAACCAGACACAACAAGAGGAGGTGTCTGGCTTTCATTTGTTTCCAGACTGAACAAAGATGCCAAAGTTTCCTGATCACTGAAGAGTGTCTGTCACTGCAGAAAAACCACACACAAAGTGGGCACAGACAGTCCGTCTGTGTGGAAATAAAGTTGAACCAAAGAATCAATGATCATCTGTTTTACCGGACACAGTTACATCCACAGCAAAAAAATTAACTTTGACCGCTTTTTATTTCTTAGTGGTAAAAGGTAGTTAAATGTTGGTATTATCTTTTTTAAATTCTCATGTCAGATTTAACATTTTTGTTTGGCAGGGGCAAAACAACAATTTTGTTCTGCACCTAATTTTCTCAACAATTAATTGGTTTAAAAAAAAAAACATACATAAAATGTTACATATACCTTAAAAAGATTGGATAAATTGAGCGGTATTCTTTGAGAAAAAGCTATGGAAGGAAAAAGCTGGTAGTTTCATGATGTGTTTTCCTCTCTTAATGCATACATTTAAATCCTTGTTAGTGTCTCAGTGATTTTCGTTTTGGTTTGCTTGTTTGTTATTTGATAACTGGGAAGTAAATCAATGTGAGTCTACAACAGCACCTTGATGAAAGGTTAGTGTTTGATACTGTCAAATTTTTAGCTGTACATTTCTTAAAGTAATGAACAACATGTCAAGATAGGGGGCCTGAACAGCTACTTGTCAGTCCCACTGAACCCAGGATATTTTTACTGCAACTTAGTCAATATTCAGTGTGAGGACAAACACATCCACACCCTCAATCAGACTAATGCGCAGCCTCAGCTGTCTCTTCCCTTCACTGAGCTGATCTTCTGTGTGAAACCAAAGCGGACTGCTTCTCACTGCTCTGCTCCATTGTTGTTTTAACTATGTCAGTCAATACAGCCAGCTGATACCCACCGACCAATCAATACCACCTATTACCCCTAAGGGGGCAGAGCTTCAAAAGGGTTACTCTGGAAATTAAAGGTGTTTAAAGAATCCACTGATAGAGTGCTGGGGGGTAAAAACACACTGATCTACAATCCCAGCACAAGGATTGGGGATGATGGGGATGACTTGGAAAACACTGCCCCCTCCTGGCAACAGCTAGAAATACCAGGAAAATACATCTTAAAACAAATGCACCAGATTTTACATTAATTCATACATTCGTTCATACATACAGTACACCTCCCTAATATATACAGTCTCACTCATTAGTCAATGTTAAACACTCATGCTGGTTGTAATGCATTCACACAGACACAGGCATATTTACATGTAACCACAGTTTGTTTCACCTTCTCATGTTTTTTTTTTCTCTTTTATACTAAAAGCCAGAAAAAGTAGCAAGGTAAATTCAGCCAGAAGCCTCATACCTACTTCTACAACCCAAACTCTGCAATCGCTCTCTTTTTGGTTCAGTTTAACAAACTGATTCGTAAACAAATGTGAGATCAGGAAGTCCTAAGCTTTGAATGTGTGTGAGACAATAAAGATAAAATGAGAAAAGTAAAATCTTTCAAGTTTGAAAAAAACAAATCTGTATGAAATCAGCTGAAGATATACAGTAAAAGGAAATAATAATAATGGTACTATATAAAGTTTTAGAAAGTGGGTATGGGTTTGCACTATCAGACTTTGAAAGATGGTTTATACTACGTCAACTTTTAAATTCACCAGCAGGTGGCAGCAAAGTACTCCTGTGTCCAAGGCCTAAAGGTTGGCAGTAGAAAACAACTGAGAAAATCAGGCTGTATGGGAGACTTTCATGGCTTATTGGTTGTCACTCATTTTGTCTTCTTATTTTGTCAGGTTTGACATCGATAAGAGAAAATTTTACTCCACAATCCGAATACAATGTGACCAGCAATGTTGCATTTATTTGTTAAGTAGTAGCGTTGCTCTTGCGTTTACAGCACATGTGAATTTATGCGCTCAGTGTAACAACATTGCTCTTCCACAAAGTGGCGCCACAGGCCTGTGTATTCGCTCCACATGATTTACGGTTCCTTTGTTCCTTAACAATAAATTGATAATAAATAAATACATACAGAAACAAAATGGGTCTTTTTTATATGTCTTTGAGCCTGTCAGCACCTGAGCCTGTTCTAATTTTCTATAACTAACTCTAAATATTTAGTTCAGAGCTTTAATTTTTGTTAATTGTAGGGTGCTGTTGCTTTGACCCTTGACCTCTCCCTCCAGCTCTCAGGAAATGGCAGTAAAATTGGCTAAGTGAAATAAAAAGCAATTATGTAAATGCATGTGAGACTGATTTTTTTTCTTTTTTCAACTGATGCATGAAAACTTTTGTCTCCATCTGAAAAGACTTTCAGACTCCACCACCACTTCCTCTGCTCTGAAGGCACTGGGCGCAGGTCTTTACTGGAAACCAGTAGCTCTGACTAAAAACCCCACAGCAGTGCTGTATGGTGCACTTGTGGTAGCCGTTAGGTGCCGGTAAGCTTCACAGTGTGAGGCAGTTAACCCTTCAGTGGCACCTAAACAAGAGCTGTCACCACCCAACTGCACCCTGATGCAACATCTTACAGAAAGCCATCAGTTTAAACTGTAAACCAGCGTGACCCCCAAACCAAACCGTCTGTATTTGATGTTGCAGGTACAACCTTTATCCAGGAAGACATTCAGAGTACAAGTTCTGATAACAGACATGAGAGTTGTTGCCTATTAAGGTATGAAAATGAGAGTCACTGTTACTCTCAGTGAACCGAACGTGAAAACAGATCAGGCCCTGACTGATACCCAAGTGAAGGTGTCGACAGAGAGGCAGAGGGAGACGGTCTCACTGTCAAGAGCAAAACCTCAAGAGCCACAGAACAAAACTGAATACATCTGCCAATGGCTCAAGGTTTAAGATTTTGTACAATCACTATAAGTTCAATTGCAACTCAAATTAGAATCAGTCACTTAGAGGAAGAAAAAGAAAAAGGACATTTTTAAAAATAGTGTCTGTACTTGCACCAAATTTTGCAAATCAACCTTAAAATTGTGATGTCCCTTGTCAAATCCTTGAGGACAGTCTCACATACTGTATTTACAGCACTACTTAGCCTGCACGGCTGTGATTTTAGCACTTTAAAACTTAATTTGATGACACAGATACCCACGGAAACCCTTTTATTGCCAGAGGTTTCTGAAAATTATCACACAAGCTGATTTCTGGGTGAAAGGGTGCATTGTGTAGCCAAACAAGAAAACAGCCTGTGAGATCTCTCTAAGGAGCAGAGAGGAATGAAAACATAACCCTCACTCCCTCAGAACCTCATAGAAGTAAAGCACACACCAGTGATAAGACAACCCCCCGCATGCACTAAATGCTCTGCAAGTTATCTACAGATATGTTTTTTAAAAGGCTGATGCAATGTGATAGCTGCTGACAGGTCAAAACGTCTGTGCTTTCACTTTGCTTTCAAAATAGAAGAATAAAAAGTTCCAGTTGGATGCAGAAGCAACAGGTTTGCTCCTGCAGTCCACCTACTCACTCACACTTCTACATAAAATTGACTTACACAAGGTTTCACACTCAGATTTACTTGCTCCTAACACTCACTGTTACACCTAAAAAATTTCACTGGGCTTTGAGTTTTTTTCAGTCCTTTGCATAACACACATTCTGTGGTTTCTGTGTTTCTACTCATAGAAACATCTTTCACACCAAAACTCGGGCTTTCAGGAAACATTCAAACCTCATCTGCTAATCTGACATGTGCAACACATCGCCCATCAACAGGAGTCGAGCTAACGAGGCTGCTGTTTTTGTGTTCCTGATTAGATGACATGTTGGTGATAAGAGTTTCTTGCTTTTCCGTCTAAACTGAGGCTTGACTTGACAAAAGAGGAAGTGCCTCTGTCACTGTGCAATGAGTGATGTATGAATGTGTGCTACTACATACAGAGTGTTGATGTATGTACTGTAAGTTTACTGTACTCTATTTATATCTGAGCCTAGCCCTGACTCATGAATCATGTTGGTGAACATTGAATCAACTTTGCTCTGGCCTTAGCTGTAACACTGCACACGCCTGGGCTGCACAGACGTCTGTAAGAACTGTTCCTTTAAATTTAATAGCATAAATATTTTGGAAGAGAGTGGGTGAGTTGTGTTTAGTCTCTTTGCTAAAAAAAATCAGGCAAAGCTAAAAAGATGTATGGTGGCTAGTGCTGTGGCTGGAACCCTTTATGTACCGTTGATGAAGTTAGGTGCTGTTCTGAGCATTATTTGTGGCTATAGAGTGGCGTTTTGGTTGAGGTTTGTTTATGGCTCCTCAGACCGCTGTGTATTACTATCATGCGGTCATTACTAAAGTTGATATAACTAGAGAAGCAAGTGGTCAGCAACATTCATCTCTAGAGGGGGTGTCTAACTCGGTGTTGTGGTGTGTTTGACCCTAAATTAGTTTTACGCCCAAATATCCCTTTAAATTGTACCTTTGTTTGGTTAAAGTGTATCTAAAGTGTGCGATATCTCTCAACAAGACAGCAAATCTATTTTGGCTTCAATATGTCAAACTATTCCTTAGGACTATCATGAGCTTCTACAACTCCTTACTTGAACTACTAAGCTGAAAATGAAGCAAAGTGGCTGCCCGGTTTTGAAGTCATTATGGAAATTCACTCTAACATTAGTACCTTTGGCTCAGGTTTCATACAACCAATGGTGGTTGTAAATGGGAAACACATACAGGAACAAGGTACTCCATCACCTTCAGGGAGGACATGAGAATGGAAGCACAGCCACAAGAGTCGAAATAATGAAGCTTTGGTCTAAGCCTAAAAAGTACACAAATCTTTAATTTCTAATTTGATTAATCCAATAAAACTGGCTGAATTATGTTCATACTATCAAGTTGAGATCAAACTTTATCTATAAAGTGCTTTTCCTCTGTTTGAAAAGCACTTCATAAATAAAGTTTGATTTAAGACTTGACCTGGCTTCTTGACGATCAAAGATCTGTTGAATTTCAAATCTGACCGACATGACTTATGCTTAACTGGAGCAAATAAGGATTAAAACCGTGACGGTGAGATGAGTTGAGCTAATTTCAGTATGTGTGTTGCGTAGAAGCTGCCTACTCATTTGGTTTTGTCGCTGCACAAATAGACACAGGGTTTACTCTCATTTGAATGAGCTATCTGTGGTTTGCATTGCTCGCTGCAACAATAAAAGCAGAAGTAGCCTCTGAGACACCTGCTACTGATGGGTGGATGTTAGCGGAAGTAAAGCATCTCCACCACAGAAGGACAGCGAGGGGATAGATTGAGCACTACTGTGGTTGGACAGGTTGTAGCTGCTGAATACACTACCCTGAGTGAAAGCTGACTGCATGAATAGGACCACACCAAACAGGAATTCCTTACAGAGGACAGAGGAGACTTAATAACTCTCTTTGTGTCTTTACAGGGCATGTGATATTCACTAGCAACATTTTGCAAACAGTAAAATGCCCTGAACTGAGTGCATTTCCCTCCCTGTAAGTGGAGGACAACCAGAGCTAAAAGAGAGATTAATATTGGGGGATGAAAATAAATAACTTTTCATTTATCTAGATTTGAAAATCAACATGTGTCTGCTTCAAGATAATAATATTTGACCAAGCTTGCAAGTTGTTTCTTTCCCCTGAAGCAGCAGAGTATCGGTTTCATCTTTCTAGTGTATGACGTGTTGAGTCAAATGGTGACACCTTCCTCCACTCTTTTCTGTACTTTCTCGTCTCCTTTACAGTTTTGATCAGAAGCACGAGACACTAAAGCTTTTTTGTTTTACTTTTGAGTCTAAAAGATCTCGCCTGCTGAAATTAGCTTGTTTCAGATAAGCCCCCCCCCCCCCCCCCCGAGACTGACACTCCAACACATGATGGAGATAAATTCATCTATGTGCCACTTGAACCTTCACCACACAGGGCTGTGAAGGATGGAGTTAAACTTGAGATCAACCTCACACCTTTGTCTCTCCTCCGCCTTCATTTTTCCGTCTCCCCCTGGCAACTTCTCTTGTTTATTTCCTCTAATTTGTTTGTTCAGAGGCAAGGCACACAAAGCAGCCTATAATCAACCAGTTCCTGCTTTGAATTCATTTCCATGCCCACTGAGCCAAAACACAGGCTAAATATAACAACTAAACCTGAGCGAAGGCATTCTTTACTGTCATCAAAGGAGTCACTACTTTATGGTAAATGATCTTACAATGGTGAAGGAATTTCTTTTTTATGAATGAAGTGTTAAGTACATGCAGATAGTCGTGGGTAGGGTGACACATTCTCCTTTGACATGTTAGACAATGAGGAAGTACAAAATGTACTCAGACATTAAAATGATTAAGAACTCTGAAATATTTTTGCACATTTTGCAGAGTTGCATACTTACAAAAGCTTTTTTTGTTTGTTCCTATAATTTGTGAACCCTCCCCCTCCTTTTTGCTGTAGAAAATGTTTACAAATGCTCTTTCTCCATTGAGTTGTAAGGTATTTTATCCAACACCAAGCATCAGCTAGAGGCTTTCACATGAACTGTTTAGAAACCATCAGACCCATCGTTGATGATCTTGTTTGCTTTTTTTTATTAACATCTAAGTTTTGCTTGAAGTCTGTGCTAAACTGGAGAAGATGTAACTTGAGTAAGGTGGACTCCAACCAGCGACATAAAAGAGGTCCTTTGGGTAAAATACATGAAAACACCTGTGTGCATATATACGATGGAGTATTAGGGCCACAGTAAGAAAAAATCAAAATTAAGTCTTTGAGATTAATTTTTGAGAATAAAATCATTACTTACGAGAATAAAGTTGTAATAAAATTATAACTTACGAGAAAAAAGGCGTAATAAAGTTAATACTTAAGAATAAAGTCGTAGTAAAGTAATCACTAACGAGAGTTAAGTCAGAATAAAGTTCTTATATTCTAACCTGTTGTTTAAGATGACAATTGTTGAAATGAGAGCTATGGAGCATTTCGTAAAAAATGTACTTCAATATAGGTTTCTCAAACAAGGAGATACTTCATCTTTTGGCACATCAGCACCACATTATCATAAGTATCATAATGATTTTATTATGACTTTATTCTTGTAAGTAATGATTTTTACTGCGACTTTATTCTATTAAGTAATTACTTACAACTTCATTCTCGTTACTCTTGATTTTATTCTCATAAATTAACTTTAATCTCAAAGTCTAATTTTTTTTATTGTGGCCCTAATTCTTCATCGTACATATAAACCAGGCAAGTATAAGAAAATAGAGCCAATGCTTAAGTGCCAAAAAATGTAATTCCTTCAGTATCCACTTGGGGCTGCCCCTAAAAACCAACACACTGTGCAGAGGTGATTTCTTTTTAACTAATTTGTTTGAAGGTTACAAGTTTAGCATAATGAGGCAGGTTTATTGGAGCTGTTTGTCAGGGGGTTAAAGACCCACTTCAACCCTGCGTCACTGCTTTTTGTTGAATTAGCATTTCCCACATGGCGACTGTCACCATTCAGTTCTACTTTAGGATCAATGGGTGACGCCAGTGTAACTACAGCTGGGATTTCTTGCCATCAATTCTTTAAGGTCACCCCACATGAGGCCCAGGTTTTTACATTTTGAAAATTGTTAGAGGTCACACAAAGTTCTAGACAAACACTGCCCCCTAGTGCATCTCACAGACCCAAAGATAAAAACTATTACTGAGCCCAAATTTTACCCCTGATCAATGATTCAGATCATGCCAATCAAAGTATAAAAAAAACATATTTAACACATATTTTTCATTAAGTTAACTCGCAAATACCACTTCATTTCATAATTAGCAGTAAATTGGACAAGGATTACACAAAGCCTTTTACTTACTTTGTCCCACAGCTGCAGTATCTTCACGGCAATCACAACTGGCCAGATATGACAATGCTTATCAGGCAAGGCTGCGACATATCTTTCTGAGTATTTAACATGTAATCTGTCATCTTCTGTTTGTGCCAAAAATATGTGATATGAATTAACAGCAAAGTGTGTGTTTGTACGCGTGTGTTGGGCTTCCTCCTTCTGATCACATTGGGGATGCAAAATGGTGCAGGTGATAAGAGAAAGTTTTTGCTGCTTGGGACACTATGAAGCACAATGAGGAAATGATTGAGCATGTTTCTCACCCACACAGACACATACGTTTGTTTTACGCTTACGCACACACATTTTCTGTTCCCCTGTCACTCACACTGACACTGTCTCTGCCTCTCTCTTGCTAACTCTCACTCATGTACAGTCTCTCCTCCTCTGTCCCTCAAACACAACCACTGAATGCTCAGCTCACATCCGGGTTGACAGCTCAATACCCTTCAATCTCCAGCCACATGAATGAAGGAAACAGGGGCAGGGGAACCCCATGTCACTAATAATGAAACTCCCACCCACACACTCCACACCACCTTATAGAGTTCACCTACACTCTTATATTCAAAACGTGGAAAAAGGAAGTGGTGTTGTAACAATAGGAAGGGAAAAGTAGCCTGTGACTATCATCTTTGGCCAATTTACTGAATATTAACACTCTGTCTTAATGAAAATGGGTCTGTGTATTTATGGCAGGTTAGGGTTGAGGTTTGTGTTAGCTTTTACATCCAGTAATAGCAAAGGGCAAACAGAGAAGGAAATGCTAATATCACTGTCATTTGGAATAAAATGTTCAGATAAAATCACATGAGCTTTGCTGGAGTTACAGGGTTCTTATTCTATCAGTTTTTAATATTCAACATCAACAAAACATGCAACCTCTTCATCAGTAAATCCACAAATCAAGCAGAAAGTTAACAAGCTGACTGTATGTGAACCACTGCACACTTAAGTGCTGCTATCAGTGCATCTTGGATCAGATATGTATATATACATACGCGCTAGATGCATTACGCACACTGTTAGCCAATGGAGACTGACGTCCGCACAAGGCGACCATCTTGCTCCAGGCAGCTCACCCACTCATAACATTAAAGTCTACGGTGCATGTAGCATTTAATTAACCATAAATTGCTTAACTTTAAACCGATGATCAAACAGTTTGGTTTGTAACAAACCTCAGAATTTTAGTTACGCTTCTGCATACTCAAGAATGATTTTAATATTCAATATGTCCAAGCATCCCGACTCATAGCCACATTATTAAGGTATGTAATAAACAAAACTGTTGTAAATCTGTCAAGATTTCAGCGAGTTAAGAGTATTTTTGATGATGCAAATTACTCACCTTCCATCAGCTACCATACAATATACCAGAATGGTATACTGAAGTAAGATGGCCGCCATAAGCGGACGCCAGTGACTCCGACTCATCTAGCCTTTCTTATATATGTC